CGTCATAGGTCCATCCCGGTACAGACAAATGTGCTTCCGGAACCTCGATTCCATTGTTTGGGTCATCCTTTGGGTCGATGATCGTATCATCCTCCCCCTCTTGAAAAGGACTTAGTCCTCAAGTCTGGTCCATCTGCGACAAAGGGAATGAGGTCAGAAATGTTGAAGCTGGTACTGACTAAGTACTTACCTTGTAAATCAAGCTTGTAGGCGTTGTCATTGATCCGCTCAAGGACCGTAAAGGGACCATCCACACGAGGCAATAATTTGGACTTTCTTTCCTCCGGAAACCTGTCCTTCCTCAAATAGACCCATACTAGATCGCCTGGTTCAAACACCTTTTGGCGCCGGCCCTTGTTAGCGTGCTTCTTGTATAGCTCGGTCTTCCTTTCAATGTTCTGCTTGGCCTTCTCATGAATCTGCTTGACAAGTTCGGCCTTTTTCTTTCCATCCATACTTACACGCTCAGACAAAGGTAAAGGCGTAAGATCAAGAGGAGTAAGTGGATTAAAACCATAAACCATTTGAAACGGGGAAACAATGTAGTAGAATGAACTGCATGGTTATAAGCAAACTCTACATGTGGTAGACAATCTTCCCACGTCCTAAGGTTCTTTTTAATAACAGAACGAAGCAGTGCGGACAAGGTTCTATTAACGACCTCGGTTTGACCGTCGGTCTGTGGGTGGCAAGTGGTGGAAAAGCATAACTTAGTACCTAGTTTTGACCAAAGCGTTTTCCAAAAATAACTAAGGAATTTAACATCGCGGTCAGAAACTATAGTCCTAGGCATTCCGTGCAACCTAACCACTTCTCTAAAGAACAAATTAGCCACATTAGACGCATCATCAGTCTTATGACAAGGTATGAAGTGCGCCATTTTTGAGAACCTATCGACCACAACAAAGACAGAATCACGACCCGTCCTAGTTCTTGGCAATCCTAACACGAAATCCATAGAAATGTCCGTCCAAGGAGAGCTAGGAATGGGTAACGGAGTGTACATACCTGGGGACTGGCTTTTGGATTTAGCATACTTACAGGTGATGCATCGGCCGCAAATTCTTTCCACATCTCTTTTCATGTGCGGCCAGAAGAAATGATCCTGGATCACACTAAGAGTCTTGGTCACTCCAAAGTGTCCCATCAAACCGCCGCCATGAGCTTCTCTAACAAGCAGATCACGAAGGGAAACATTAGGTATACAAAGGCGGTTTTCATAAAACAAGAAGTCATCACTCCGAAAATATTTTCCAGTGGCAAATTTAGAACAGGATTGATAAACTTCCTGGAAATCTGGATCGGAGGTGTAGGCTTCTTTAATCATTTCAAAACCGAGGACCTTGGCGTCTAAGGTCGAGATCAGGGTGTATCTTCGGGACAAGGCGTCGGCCACAACGTTTTCCTTTCCCTGCTTGTACTGGATCACGTACGGAAACGTTTCAATAAACTCCACCCATCTGGCATGCCTCTTATTCAATTTCTGCTGGCCCTTGAGGTGTTTAAGAGATTGATGATCCGTATGAATCACAAACTCCTTTGGCCAGAGGTAATGTTGCCAAGTTTGGAGCGCACGGACCAATGCATAAAGCTCCTTGTCGTAGGTGGGATAGTTCAAGGTCGCGCCACCAAGCTTCTCACTGAAGTAGGCAATAGGTCGTTTCTCCTGCATTAGGACCGCACCAATACCTACACCGGAGGCATCGCACTCAATTTCAAAGGTTTTCATAAAATCAGGCAAAGAAAGGAGAGGTGCATGAGTTAGCCTGTTTTTAAGGAGTTGGAACGCCTCTTCTTGTGCCGTGCCCCATTTAAAGCCAACGTCCTTTTTGATTACTTCGGTGAGAGGTGCTGCTATGGTGCTGAAGTCCTTTACAAACCGTCGGTAGAAACCGGCCAGGCCGTGGAAGCTTCGGACCTCTCCAACCGTCTTGGGACTGGGCCAGTCTTTGATCGCCTTGATCTTCTCTTCGTCAACCTGGATCCCATTGGCACCTACAACAAAGCCTAGGAACACAACATTATCCGCGCAAAAAGTACACTTTTTCAAGTTCCCAAATAATTGCTCCTTCCTAAGCACTTCTAAGACTAACCGCAAATGCTCTAAGTGCTCGGCCAAGTTCTTGCTATAGACTAAGATGTCATCAAAGTACACAACGACAAAAACGCCTATGAACGACCGCAAGACATGGTTCATAAGTCTCATGAAAGTGCTAGGGGCGTTGGTTAAGCCAAACGGCATTACCAACCATTCATAAAGCCCATGCTTGGTCTTAAAGGCTGTTTTCCATTCGTCCCCCTCTTTCATCCTTATTTGGTGATAGCCACTTTTCAAATCTATCTTAGAAAAAAGACAAGATCCGTGAAGTTCATCAAGCATATCATCCAAACGAGGAATGGGGTGTCTGTATTTTACCGTAATATTGTTGATTGCACGACAGTCAACGCACATACGCCAAGTGCCATCCTTCTTTGGCACTAGTAAGACCGGGACCGCGCAAGGACTCATACTCTCTCGTATATGTCCTTTCTTCATCAGCTCGCCGACCTGCCGCTGTAGTTCCTTTGTTTCAACAGGGTTGGTTCGATAAGCGGGTTGGTTTGGCAAGGACGCACCAGGAACAAAATCGATCTGATGTTCTATTCCGCGGATGGGAGGTAATCCACTTGGGCTTTCTTCTGGAAAGACGTCATTGTATTCCTGCAAAAGAGGCAAAACACTGCTCGGAAGATCCGGCTCAAGGTCAGTAAGACTAGCCAAAGCATTTTTAAACATTAACAAGACAAAGGATTGTCTCGTAAGCACGGCGTGCTTAAGTTCACTTGGCCTCACGAAAAGAGTTTCTTTCCTCACGGGTAAACTCTCTAAGGCCGTTTCTGGGGTTTTTCTCAGACTCTCAGATTTAGTGGAAGTGTTTAGAGGGTCACTCACAATGCTTTTTCCTTTGTGACTTTGCTCGAGTTTGATCTGGTCTAGATAGACTTCTTGCGGAGACAGAGGCGCTAGGGTGATCTTGCGGCCTTGGTGCTCGAACATGTGCTTATTGGAGAAGCCATCGTGAATGGCCTTGCGATCATACTGCCAAGGTCGGCCCAAAAGGATATGACCGGCTTCCATCGGCAATACATCACACATGATCTCATCCTCGTACCGTCCGATAGATAATGGAACCGAGACCTGCTTGGTGACCTTTAGCTGCCTTTGGTTGTTTAGCCACCTGAGACTATAAGGCTGCGGGTGCTTGTGCGTCTCCAGGCCAAGTTTTTCCACCATTGTAGTGCTTGCCACGTTCGTACAGCTGCCTCCATCGATGATCAAGCTGCAGACTTTACCCTTTACCAGGCACCGGGTATGAAATAGGTTCTCGCGCTGATCTTCTTCTTTTACGGGTTCCTGAGCTAGTAGGATTCTCCGGGCAACGAGCAATTCACCTTCTGCTGCTCGTTCCTCATCGTCCTCATCGTCATAAATCGGTCCAGTAGCCTCTTCGTCGGACACGATTTCACCTGAGTCAAGAAGCAACATGGTTCGTTGGTTCGGACATTTATTAGCATAATGACCTTTACCTCGACACTTAAAACATTCAATGTCGCGGTGTCTAGCCGGTGTAGCCTCGGCTTTTCCTTTGAAGTCGGGTGCAGAAGAGCTGGGTTTGAAATCCGTCCTGGGCTTAGCGTCGGATCGAGATGGGTAGCTCGGCTTATCTGTAGGTCGCGAACTGGAACCATAGGCGGGTCGGTTGGTGCCTTTGCGTTTCAGCTGTTGTTCCACTAGGACCGCCTTGTGGTACATCTCTCCAATGTCCCGATAGTCCTGCAGCTCCATACGGTCTTGTATATCACGGTTGAGGCCACTCAAGAACCGGGCCATGGTCGCATCCTCCGGTTCTACCGTATCAGCTTTCAGCATTAGCCGATCCATTTCTTGGTAATACTCCTCAACATTCTTGGATCCCTGGGTCAAACGTCTGAGTCGAGTGTGCAACTCCCGATGGTAGTGGCTCGGTACGAATCTGCGTCTCATCATCCGTGCCATCTCGTCCCAAGTTTCGACCGGTCGGTCGCCGTTCCTTCTCCGGTTGGTAACAACTTGGTCCCACCAGTCTACCGCGTACCCATGGAACTCGGTGGCAGCCAGGTTGATCTTCTTTCGTTCTGAGAAGTTCTGACAACCAAACAAAATGTCGATCTTCTTTTCCCACTCAAGGAACGCATCTGGATCAGTTGTTCCATAGAAAGCTGGAACCCTCAGCTTCATGCCTCCAAGGTCATTGTCGTTGCGGGCTTGGACTGGTTCAGGTTCGTATTGTTCCCGCCCTTGATTGTTACGGTCTTGTCGAACCTCCTCCCGGTTATGGCCGCGGTTTGGATTTGGGTTGTATCGCTCACGACCGTGGTTCGGTACAGGATTTTGACCACGTCTATCTTCTCGGTCGCGTCTGGGTCGTACCCGACTACCACCCGAGGTATGACCGTCAGCGTAGAATGGGTTGTCTCCGACATACTCATTTCGGTTATGATTTCTCTTTCTCCGGGTTGGGTCCTCCTGGTTACTGCGATCAGCTCCTCTGTCCCGTCTAGGCCGATCCACTTCCAATTGTTCCATACGCTGGTTCATGTGATCCAGCAACTGAGTAATTTGGTCCAGCCTATGGTTCATAGTGACTTTTCTTACTTCCTTTGACCGAATAGAGGATGGATCTTCGCTAGAAGACATATAGTACCTCGCAAAACAAACAAACAAGTTAGTAAAAAAAAATTCTCACTAAGTGTTTCACTCGGTGTTTCACTCAACCCTCTTAATGATCTCACAAACACTCAAGAGAATCTCCTCGGTTCTAAGAGAACTAAATCAAAACTTGATGTAGAACTCTAAACCAATTCAGAATATCAAGCGATTATGAAGAAAAGAGAAGATAGAGAGAAAAGATTTTTGATTTCCACAGATCCTTTTTTTTTTTTTTTTTTTTAACTTTGGTTCTTCTTTTTTTTTTTTTTTTTTTTTTAAATAGATCTGGAATTACAAAAGAAAGAAAGGATAAGACGGAATTTGAAAAGACAAAAAGATAGATAGTACCGCTTTCTTCAAGTGCGTGGCTCTGATACCACTTGATACGAATTCCCAAAGAACGGCACACACTTGGTCGGTATCGGATGGATAGATCCTTGACTCCAAACGGATCCACGGAGAAGATGCTAAGGGGTGGGTTGGAACCCGAAGATCCTTAGGCCCAAACTCGCGGTGAAAGGCTTGAAACAAGGGGGTGACTAAGCTGGCTGATTGGATCCGCGGAAAAAGGATGTTAAGGCGTGAGAACTAGGTTCCCAAAAATCCCTAAGCCCCTTTAACTACTTGAACGTTCCAACGAGACAACTGGGTGAAGGCTGCGTCAAGTTCTATGGATTGAACTTGATAAACCGAAAAGATTCAAGAGGCTATCCACCTAAGGAATCGAAAAAGTTCTAAAAGAACAAAGGAGAAAACTCAGATTTTATTTTATAAGTGAATAATGAATCAAAATGAGAAGGGGAGCAAGCCTTTATATAGCAGGCGAAGTAGCTCAAGAGACAAACTCGAAAATGACAGAAAAATTAATAAAGTCTTGACCGAAATAAATGAACTAAAGACTGACTCTTCGACTGGCCTTTGACTGACTCTTGAGTTGCCAAGCCGAAAATGACTCTTGCTATTCCGACCCATGAACCAGACCGTAAACCAATCCTAGGTCGAGAGATGGGCAATGGACTTAACCTCGTTAAAACCCCACCCGGTAAACCCATTGGGACAAACCCGGGTGTAAGGAAAAAGAGTATTAAACCATCACCCGGACCAGATTAATTACAGCCGGCGTTCATGAGCACGGTCACGATCTTGGGTGATGCTGGGTCGCCTGGTCCAATCCTGATCCCATTAAGTACAGCCTGGACCGTTCCTGCCAGCTTCTTAGCTCTGGATCGCGTCATAGGTCCATCCGGTACAGACAAATGTGCTTCCGGAACCTCGATTCCATTGTTTGGGTCATCCTTTGGGTCGATGATCGTATCACTTGTACTAATCATTTTTAGTTTATATTACCTCCCTCCTTTTCTAAAAAACTTGCATAATGGTGGAATATTGCAGGAATGGTTATTGCAATATCAATGTTTTTGCTAATTGCATTATTTTTAGTGAAATATTATAAATTTTTTGATAAATATCTTCCCAAGAAAGAAACACAAAGAAATATAGTTGGCAAAAAAAAACAAGAAAATATTATCATGATTTAGTTAGGGAAAACGACGTATTTCCCCACGACAACTTTCGTATAGTTGTAGATCCCCGCAAAATTTCAAACTCGTCATATTCCCCATTTTTGAACTTTTGTCAACCCGTTTTCCATTATTGTGTATTTCGGATCATATTTACCCACAAACCAAGTAAACCATAAATAAATAGGATTTACTGTTTACCGATCAAAGGTTAACCATTTAAAAACCCAACTAAACCAAATTTGACCCGATTAAGCTTGTTAACCGTGATTTGACCCGACTTAAAAACATTTGACCCGAGTTAAAAAAACCCCCACATCAAACCCGACTCAGTTTTGACCCGACAAAAAATCCCAAATCAAACCCGACTCAATTTTGACCCGACTTAGAAAATCCCCAAATCGACCACTCAATCCCTAAATCGCGAAAAACCCTAACTCTCTTAAAAAATCCCCAAATCAAAATCGCGAAAAAATCCCCAAATCGAACCCACATAACTTCATTTAGCGAAAGGTATGTTGTTATTTCTATTTCATTTGAGATTTCAATTTCCTTTAAGGTTTGCGATTTCGATTTATGGTTTTAGGGTTTGTGTTTTCGATTTCTTTGGATATTTCGAGTTGGACTGCGATTTTAATTTCAATTTCTGGGTTTAGAGAGTGCAAATCGGATTTCTGGCTTTAGTGATTGCGATTTTTATTTCTAGGTTTCACTAGCTGCTCGTTTTTTCTGGGTTTATGTCTTATCTCTTCCTTCCTCTTTTTGTAATCTTCATCAACTAACACACATCGATATTTTAGCAAAATGAAGTTTTGAAGCTGATAAACTATGAAATCAAGCATCCAATGATCGAAATAAGACAACAAAACCTACCCTACACCCAGAATTTCAATCGCCTTTGAAGTTCCCACACGAATTGACCAAATCGAAATTCTAGGGTTCATACACGATTTAGGAATTTAACAGCTTCATCACGTCGGGTCAGGTCCCCGAAAAGAATCGGATGGGTTGGGTTTTAAATGAGATTCGGTATATGATTAAGTTGGTTTAGTTGGTTTAGTTGGTTTAAGTGATTTTTTATCAGGTTTGCTTCTTAACCCGTTAAAATCATGGTATATAGGGAAACGGGTTGATAAAAGTTCAAAAATAGAGATATACGACGAGTTTGAAACTTTGCAGGGATCTATAACTATATAAAAGTTATCGTGGAGAAATACGTCGTTTTCCCATTTAGTTACCACATATTCTTGTCTTTCCACTCTGCTCTCTGTCATCCCTCACTTTCGTAAATTTTCTATACCTTTTTCAAAAATTAATCTGAGAAAAAAATAAACATGGGAAATTGGAATCAATGAAATTAATTTGATGGAGATTGGATTCCGGTAGTGTGAAATTCTGAGACGGATTTTGTTCAAACCGGAAACCGACCGGTTTTAAACATGTCCGGGTCATCGGTTTTGAGCTTTAATTACAATTAACTAAACCGGGTTTTAAAAACATTGGCCCAAAACCCTTAGTCCTGCTTCAGAGCTGTCTCTCTCTGTTACCAAACTTGAGAGTGTCGAGATTGAGAAATAACCATGGCGGCTACGACAACTCTGGGGTTTGTTTTGCCGACTGGTTTATCTCACCGTCGCGGTGGATTTAGGGTTTCGGTCATCCGATGCTCCGCTTCTCCTCTCACTTCATCTACTGGCGCCGCCGCCTCTGGTACATCTTCTCTCATTTCCTCATGAGGTTCCAAATTGATGAAATTTTTTAATAAAGGCTAAAGCTTTAAATTTTCGAAGCATCGAAGATAGATAGATGAAATTTTGGCACGGAATCTCTCTTTCTCTCTCTCTCTCTCTATTTCGCTTCTTCTTATACCATTTTGTGTATTTCATTCTCTGGAGTTAGTTAAGTTTTTGAATAAAGGCTAAAGCTTCGAATTTTCCAAGCGTCGAAGATATAATTTTCTTAATCTTTAGATCCTCGCAGCTCTAAATTAGTGCCCCATTTTGGTTTAGGTCTTGTGGAGAAACCTTGGAATTCATATGATGCTAGGCTTGTGTTAGAAGACGGTTCCATTTGGCCGGCTAAGTCCTTTGGTGCTCCTGGGACACGTGTTGCGGAATTGGTCTTCAACACCTCCTTGACAGGGTGAGATTTGTACTTGCTTGATTACATCACAACTATCTATGGGGGATTGTTCATTCGAGCCTTGCTGATGTTTTTTTGTTTGTCTTTGGAAGGTATCAAGAAATTCTTACTGATCCTAGTTATGCCGGGCAATTTGTGCTAATGACAAACCCACAAATTGGTAACACCGGTGTGAATCTCGGTAAGTGGAAAAGTCAGGATTTTGAATAGTTACGGGAGTTTCTTATACCACTGTAAAACTTATATGTTCGTGATATTTTCTTGTTCTAGATGATGAAGAATCTGAGCAATGCTTTCTTGCTGGTTTGGTGATAAGAAGTCTAAGCATCAGGTAAGTGTTAATGCTTATATCACCGGAAGAAGCATGTTTTTCTTCCCTTTTCCTCCATTTTGAATTTCCTAACCTATAAAATCGCAAATGTTTCAGTACTTCAAACTGGAGATGCACAAAAACACTTGCTGACTATCTAATCGAAAGGAACCTCATGGGAATTTGTAAGTTCTTTGTATTTACGATGCTATATAGATTATACATGCTATAAAGTTGGATTTGAAAACACCTCTCTCTGATTACGCTGCTTGTTCTTTTTTAACAATTTCAGATGATCTTGACACTCGAGCAATAACTCGTCGATTAAGAGAAGAAGGTAGTCTTAACGGTGTGCTGAGCACAGAACAAACCAAAACAGATGAAGAACTTCTGCAAATAGCCCGTTCATGGGATATTGTAGGTCAGAATTCTCGTACCCTTTCTTGTTTTGTTTTTTTGTCATAATAATATGGCCTACTTAGGGTATTGAACTCCTTTGGTATACTTGGTTGAATCTTGTAGGCATTGATCTAATAAGTGATGTTTCCTGTAAATCTCCCTACGAGTGGGTCGACAAAACAAACTCTGAATGGGATTTTAACACGAATTCACGGGATGGGAAATCCTACAAAGTGAGTGTTTACTTCTCTAGTTCTTCTCTTGTCAATGCTCTGCACCAACTTCTCACTCTCTTTTTCAATACTTTCTCTTGACTTGAAAGGTTATCGCATACGATTTTGGCATCAAACATAACATCCTAAGACGCCTATCCTCTTACGGATGTCAAATCACCGTTGTTCCGTCGACATTTCCAGCTTCTGAGGCCCTTAAAATGAATCCTGACGGAATTTTGTTCAGCAACGGTCCAGGAGACCCTTCCGCTGTGCCATATGCTGTTGAGACAGTCAAAGAGCTTCTTGGTAAAGTTCCTGTCTACGGAATCTGTATGGGTCATCAGTTGCTTGGTCAAGCTTTGGGTGGTAAGACCTTCAAGATGAAGTTTGGTCATCATGGAGGAAACCACCCAGTTCGTAATAACAGAACTGGCCAAGTGGAGATCAGTGCTCAGGTATATGCCCTTTTCTATCTCAATTCTTGCTTGGTTATGGAACATTTTTAGATTCTAGACATGCTATCAATATCAACTGAGGATTTGTTGTTTAACATTCAAAGTTTGGAGCTTTAACAGCATTCAAAGCTTGGAAATTTGACATTATTCAAAGCTTGAACCTTTAGCATTCAAAGTTTGGAACTTTAACTCGAATATCTGATAAACGAATTGTGCTAGGAACATTGTCAAAAGTTTGACAAATTCTGAATCTGGTGTATCATTGTCTTTTTTTCCGTAATTCTTGGCAGAACCACAACTATGCAGTTGACCCGGCTTCGCTGCCTGGAGGCGTAGAAGTGACACATGTCAATCTCAATGATGGAAGCTGTGCGGGTCTATCTTTCCCGGCGATGAATGTCATGTCTCTCCAGTACCACCCTGAAGCCTCCCCTGGACCTCACGACTCTGATAACGGTAACTGCCCTTGAACCCGAGCTCAGCGAAAGACACTTTGGTTACAGTTTTATTGAAAAACCTGAAGAGTAGTAATGTGTGATTTTTTTTGTTTATTTGTGATTGCAGCGTTTAGAGAGTTCATAGAGCTTATGAAGAGATCGAAACAGAGCTCCTGATCAATGGGAAGTGAAAACAACTCTTCGCTTTGTACTATTTCGCTGTTAAATTAAACACAAAAGTGTTTTGTTAGTGACAATGGAGTGAAATTATTGTTTTGGCCGTGACTATGTTAAAGAACCATCCCACCTATTAAATAAATATATAAAAGCTAAGAAAAAAGTGGGAACCCTTTACCTGCTCAATCGAGATTAAATAGTTTCTGTCTCTTAGAATAGAGTTAGATGTTTTGATTGGTAATGCTTGGAATGTAGTTTTACTGCTAACCAAAATGACTAGTCTAAAGGAGTAGTGAAGATGCAAAAAGAAACGAAAAGGACATTGGAAAAGAAAAAGAGCTTTTTTTTTAGAAAAAGGAGACTTTATACTCTTCTTTAGGCTTTTTATGCTCGTCTTTAGGCTTTTTTTCTCCAAGTGTTAGTGGTTGTATTCTTTTCTTTAATCCAAGAATGAAAGTGAAAGATGCTCCACTTCTTTCTTGTTTGTTTGGTTTTCATATTCCATTTTTCTTTATCCCTTATCCTAAATTAACTCGACCCATTTACACTAAATACCAAAAACTTTGAAGCTAATAATCTGAAACCTTTATGATATTTCACATGCACAGAGAGGACAATTGGAGTTAATGGTATATTTATCTGTTGGAATCATGGACAAAAACGTAATTGAAAGTTCGTGTTCTGCGCCAACGTGGCAGATAGATCAGGGAGATATTAATCTAAGAGTTTATATATGTTGCAACTTCATCGCACAATGGAGAGAAATATCTACAACTCTCAAAAAATATTTCTATTTGTGTACAACACAGCACTACTTATATATCTAGTCTCTTAGTTCGAACAACAACAAAATATCTACACAGCTTTTCCCTTCTTTCACAAGGTAACAATTAGCTAAAATATCAAATCTCTCAGTTCATGAATATATTATATATACGTATATATTCTATATGACTATATCAGTGTTTTGATTATTGTTGTGTGCTCTCCCTGAAGTTCATAGATCTAGACATCGCTGCAGGGTTTGCTTGTAGATTGAGAGACGTTTCAGGGACCAAGCTTCTTCTGTTGATACCCTTTGTTTCAAAACCATTGAACAAACTGAATCCTTCCGTTTTTTTCTCGGGTTTTGTCGGCAACTTAGACCACACCACGCTCGTAGCAGCTTGGTTAATTGGTTTGGTATTAACTCTAAGAGCTTCTGAAACCAATCTTGCTCTTGTTAGATCAGTAGCATCTTCAGTTTGGTCCCTTGATCGTTTCCCTAAACATGGTGAAGTCTCTGAGGTAGGCCATATAGGAACCGTGCAGCCCCAATAGAAAGGGATAGGGTAGAAATTAGCATTAGGACCCGTTGGACTCCATTGGTAAGGCCAAGGAGAAGAATTACTAGGAAACATTACTTGCGGAGGAAGAAACCCCTGGTGGGTTCTATGTTCTTGAGAAGGTGAATCAGCGGTTATCTTTGTATCTCCTGACTGATGCTTACCAATCTCGGTAACCGAAGATTCTGAAGAACCGAAACTGAGGATCGTTCCAGAGTTATTGTTGTTATTGTTGCTGTTCTCATAATCTTCAGAAGTGACCTGCAAGTAATGGTTTGAAGAAGCCCATCCTTTGTTCTTGCGTCGACCTGAGCCCACGGGAACGTTTCTCATGGATCCACCAGCTGTCCAGTACCTCTGACAGTTCCTGCAGAAGTAGCGTGGCTGGTTCACGTTGTAGTTGTTGTAGTAACAGAATTTGGTGTTTGCGCTTTCGCATCTCGGGCACGGAAGAATCTTGTCCGGTTTCTTGAGAGTTGTTGGTTTATCTTCTGATGTACTTGTTGTGATCTCGCTCTGTTGATCGCCGTTGGTCTTGGAGCTTCTTGGTGATGAAATCTCAGATGCTGCTTTTGGGTGTTCGTTAAGATCGGATAATATGTAGTAAGGATCTTTGAATCTGCTAGTGTCTTGCTCAATTTTCTTAGCTGGAACCTGGAATTTTGCATAATTTTGATTAGAATTAGCAATAGTCAAGCAAATAACCAACTCTGAGCTTTTGTTAGTAATTATCTAGGTAACAATGTTGAAAGCTGTTAAACTGCTAGTCTTGAGTCTGGCATATCGCTTTTGCTAATCCAAAATAAACAAAAAGTCCATTTTTTTAATTACGAATTTTAAATTCTTGCTCCTTAGAGTATGCAAATATTTGCTCAGTAGATAATTTATGGGGAAAAAAAGTGGGATTAAAATTGTAATACCAGACGAACAAATTCGGAAAAATCAAAACTCTTATTTATCATACATGATTACCAGTAGAGAACAGAGACAGATATATTGACCAGAAAGTCGCTATTTTTACGGCGACTCAAATTCCAGAAGATTAAACAAACCCAGAAACTTTTTTCGAGATCGAGATCGACCCATAACCAGATTCCATCAGCTCAGAAATGGGTCTCTCTCGGAATCTCAAATTAACCGAAAAAATTGACCCGCCACGGAATAATTCATACAAAAACAGAAGAGAGAGAAAGAGAGAGGAAAAAAGGATTGAGATTCGCGTGACATACCCTGTCTGGTCCAATCGTGGGAGAAGAAGAAGAGGAAGACGAAGAAGCCCCCTTGCTCTGGTCGGAATCACCGTGAACAGTGGACAAAGACGACGGATCATAATGATTTACAGCGAAGAGAGATGTAATTGTCTTCCCAAACAACTTTATCTCTGTATCTCCAGATTTAGACATACTAATTTTTCAACTTAAATATACCAAATTCCTGTTTAGAAATATTGAAGGTCTAAATCGTTTCCTCTGTTTTTTTTTTCTTTCTCTTTAATTTGAAAGATCAGAGAAAGAAAAAAGACCATGAAGAGGAAAGAATACAGGGAGCTTAGGTTGGGTATTAATGACGATAGTGCATAGGAGAGAGAGAAAGAGAAAAAGTAGGGAAGATGACACGTCAGCATATATAGAGAGAGAGAGAGAGACATGAGAAATATAGAGAGCCACATGAAGTTAGAAAGTGGGCAGATGAGATCTTTTTCACGCTCTTTTTGATTCCCCGTTCTAGTGCCGCTAAAAGATTTTCTCATCTTCTTTTATTGCCACGTCGGATTTTCCTCCTTTTTTTAATTAAAAGAAGAATAGAAACACTTGGTTCGTAGTGTCTGTTAACAAAAGGCATTTATCAAAATCATCTCCGGAATTGTAAGTAATGTAAACGCATTTAAAGGAAAAAAAGAAAAACCTTAGCATATGAAAGTCAAGATGTACGCACATGAAAAGTCTTACTAAGAAACAAAATCATTTGAAGAAAAAGGATTTTAAACTATGATCCGTTTTGACTGGTGGTTCGTTAACTCGATTATTAGTTTACTAATCCAACTTTGATGGTACAAAACCATTTTTCACGTATGTCGGTACGTATAAGTCTTCGTTTTTTTTCCTCTGATGTATAAGTCTTTGTTAACCATTAAAATTTTCATTCGACCAATACGTTGTGAAAATTCAATGAACACCAATACGTTCATTGAACTTTTTGAAATTTCTCTGAAAGGTATATAAATAAATGAAATCGATACAATTTGTTACTTTTAGAAAACTCTAATACTACTTTACAAACCGAAATCAGTTTATTTTCTATAAAAAATATCTTGTTCCAATCAGGATAAGTGAATCAATAGAGAACAACAAAAAAATTGTGTTTTTAATATGTGATTTAAGAATTAATAATGATATTGTACTATCATATAGAATAACATTTTTATCGAATACCAGAACTAGTTTATTTTTTATCTGTCGTTATAAAAAAGTAGAATTTTTTTTTTCAAAAGTGGAATTTAGCTATTAATAATATATTTATTTGGCAGTTTTACTTTAAAGTGTTTTTTTTTCTCAAATTCATCGTAAATATTACGTGATGTCTAAACAATTAATCAACATCTATAATTTTATACCCCTTTTCGACAAGATTTTATAATTCTTTCAGTATATATGTATCGATTATAAGATGTTAGATCGTAGATATAATCCGACAAGGCATAACCTGTCAATGCCAGGCTGTAAAACCACGTGGCATAGGGCCTACCTCGTCTCCGAAACATCCTACACACTCTGCCCACGTCAGCTGTAATAAAGCACGTGTGGATTGGTCCATCCATCTTTAAAAAGGTTCTTCTGACAGAATCTAGCTGTTAGTCACGCATGTAGCCAATAAATATTCAACACGTGTTAGTAGTAGAGGAACATATATGTTGTGTAGGGTAAGCAAGTAGCGTATCCAGCATCGTTAATAAAAGAAAGTAAAGTAATTACAAAACATAAACAAAATTTGGAAAAAGTTGTGGTAGTCAGAGAAACTATGTTCTGGTAGTGTCTGACACGTGGCATTCCCAGGTATGAGATAAGGCTGGACCATATCTTTTTCTCTTATCCCATTAACTCTTTTTCGATCGTTTTTTTATGACATTGTTTTTTCGTATTTTGCAAATATATCCCTACTTATTTTCAACTATGCCGAAAGTTGCGTGCTACTTTTTCGTTGTACGGGAATGACGAAAAAGTGGAGCAAATACTAGTGATCGATGAATATGATTGACATTATAAAAGTGAATAACTATTTTGAGATCAAATGTTCGTATAGTCGTGAATACGACTGTGCTTTACTTTGGAAACAAAAGAATTTTTGAAAACTACAAGGCTATATAGTTGTGACTATATGGAAAACCTTCTGGTGAAATGATTCATTAATAGTTTTTTGATTCCTTTCTGTTTCTGTTGTTTGATCGAGGGAAAAGGGAAATATAACTAGGTTTTTTTTTTTAATCATATTTCATTTACCATTTTCCCTAGAAAAATTGGAACAATATGTTTTAAGCATGTACTAGAGCTGAACTTACATTTTTGGGGTTATACTATGTTACCAAAAAAAAAACAACATTACGATAAAATTATAGTGAACACTGTAATCAGATTTTGTAGAAACATATGTTCATAATTTTTTTCAAAACTTCTCTTATTTGTTGACGGACTCCAAATTCCAAAACCATTGTTAATGGGATAAATTTGGGCATGATCTATTGGGAGGGATTGAGGTTATAGCCTTATAGGCCCGTATAAACAAAAGTTGAAAATGAAAAAGACTGAACTACGCGGCCTCCAATCTGACAGTTTTGTGTTGTACATTGCAGGCACAGTATAGGCCCATTGAAGTTTGAAGGGCTTAAGCTATAACGACAGCGTCTGGAAAGGTCATCTATTATCTTATTCCAATTCAATTACTTAAGCTTCCATCAAGGAAGTTCAAAAATGGAAGAAGTGGTCAAAGCTCTCATTTCTAAAAGGGCTCCAACGGTTTATATTGAGCCTACGCCGCTAATTGTGAGTACTGGAAGGTTTGTGGTCTTCAAATTTATTTGTTTTAGGTTGAGTGATAAATTATTATTGATATATTTTGTGTAAAAATAAAATTGAAATTCTAAAATGATCATTCTTTTTAGAAACAATAAAACAACTTTCTTTTTACAAGTTTAGATATAAATTTTCATTGAGTTATTGTCGTCAAATGACACATGAATGATGTCACTTTTATTCGACAATGGATTTACGGTTTTTAAAAATACTTTTATTAATTTAGATGTTCTTTTTTGCGCATTTGGATCTGTGCATTACAAGCACATTCGATTAAAATTGGGCCCCTTAAAGCTTTAGGAGAATAATAATCGATGAGGCATCTCTCTTTCAAACTGCTTTAGATCCAATTTCAACATTATACGAGAATCTCCTTTTGTTTCTTCTTTAATTACTTTCGTCCAACTATCATTAATTCATTTTATCTCATATGACTTCATTACAATGGAGGAAAAGATACGTTAGATTAATCCGTGGGATAAGTATAATAAAGTGCTTTTCTGTGTGTGTGTATATCTTAGTAAAGACGAAGACAGTGATCGGTCTACAATCCCTAGAAATTAACATGACCAGATTGTTAAATTTATCAACACCAAAAAAGCGAAGATCATTAATTCTGTGTATATTATATTTTCACGGCTTATATATCTTTATCGTATTCATCACACCATCATCTCAAACTGATTGTAAGATAATCACATCTAAGTATATATATATGGTTCGTTTGTTCTCATCTCTAATTCTCTATACATTTGAAATTAGGTTTAGTATGATGCTATATAAGTTCAATCCAAAGACTATGATTCGACGGTATAATTGATCTTGTCACTATCATTCTTAAACATCATGTAGCTCTTGATTCTTATTTAGATAGCACGTAAACGCGATCATCATATGATATGATGTATATAAAGCTTGATTCCATTTACTTCATCGGTTTAGAAAATGGTTTTCCACAAGTTATTATAGAATATGTTTCTTTTAGCATCAGAAGAAGAACGTATATTAAATAGGTGGTTAAAGAGAAAGTTTTATGATCATTATCCTCTCTTGGCTTTGCTGAATTTCTTTGCTTGTTTTTCAAACATTCGGGCCACACATATGAATATATGGTACATATGATCATCTCTCTCTCATTGGTATGCATTTATGCATGCATGTGTGTGTGCGAAGTTGGATTGAATGATTATTAATATTCCTTTCTTTAAGAAATGAACAAATGAAAGGTGTCCACTAAAACATAAACTCGTAGTAGGAGAAGATGCTTCTCCACGACATCAAGCTACCCCATTGGGTCCCCCACAATTCTCTCTTATTTTTCTCCTTCTTTATATCTATTATTTACAAGAATTTACGATTTCTAATTATGCCTCATCAGAGAAAGAATCATAGCAAAGTTAAATCACAGCAGCGAATGAATCCATTCCTTTCACTATGAATCCATTGCCCATTGCAAGCCTTTGTTATGAAACAACAATGAGTTCCTCACTAAAAAAAAATAGTTTATTTCTTATATTTCATTTTCGTATATATTTTGGGAGTATGTTAAATCAAGTAATAAACATAATGTTTTAGAAAATAAAAATAAATAAATGTTTAAATTATTACATCCTTTTACTTTAAAAATGAAGACATGAATTATATTAATGTGTCTGTGTGTGTGAGTGTGTATCAAAAAGGGTAAGCGTAGTACAAACATTAATGTTGTTTTCAGAAAGAAAAGATGGATTAAGAATAATCATTAGATTTTGATTCTAAAGACCAAACCCCAAAAAATTAAAGCTCGATCAGATTCTCAGCTTTTACCGACGGCTCTCTATAGGCCATCACTAATTAACAACTCCCATCTTCTTTTCTTATTTTCAGTTTTGATAAAGGAATGATATTTTGCATGCATTTCTGAATTGTTTCCCCTCAAGCTATTCTAAGAATTTTACCTGAAATATATTATTTATTGCTTCTACAACAAGACATGCAGAGTTGAGAAAAGACTTATGCGAAAGAGAAAAGTGTAATATATTACCGTAAAAACAAGATTTTCTTACTAGGTATATTACGTTACGAGAGTCTTGAGAGTTGTAAGTTTCTGATGGAGTCCACTTTCAGTACTTGTAGTTTGATTGGCTAAAGCCTAAAACTAATTATTGTCGTATAGTGTCCCTACGGCCTACACAGAACACCAAAACATCTATATGTAAGAAGAAAAAACGAATCTTAATTTTTGTTCGCAAGGGTTATCTTTCAAATTTCAATAGAATTTAAGATATCTTTCATGATTCAATGGTTGAATGTAAATTAATCGTATATTTTGAGGATGATGTTAAAATAATAATAAAAAATTACTTTCAGTCTTTCAGTACTTTTTGTACTTTTTTCTTAAGTTTATATACTCACGAAAACAACTCTGCTTAATTTCAAGCTTTTAATGAATAGATTTTACGGCATTAGAAGACAAACACTACATTTCGATCAATAAATATGGCTATCTTAATTTTTTTAAAAAATCTGACTACCATAAAAGATTATCAACATTTTGATTTGGATAAATTACACACATCAAGCATGCATTGATACTAAACATTATTTTTCCTTTTAAAATTCAAAATTTAAGTAAAATATTGTATGTATGTGTGGGTTAAGTCACCGAAATAGCTATTTTTTGTGGAGTATTTTAATTTGATAATTTCTCACATATAACACTTGAATAATATGTTGAAATATACATTTTTTAAGAACCTTGCAAGAAATGCAGATCCGAGAACACCTGAGAGATTCCTCTAAAGTGGATCATGAAACTTCAGCATAGTGTTGGGGTGTCATCTTTATGCCTCATCATATCTTGTTGTAGTGGAAATTTACGGACCATGCGTTATATATATATATATATTTGTATATATATATTTTTTTTGACAAGACCATGCATCGAGTTGTTAGATAACTCAATTATTTTGCTACTGTTTCTCACTCAAATCTATTTTTGTTTTTCAAAAATTATTTATTAATACAATAATTATACGAAATCTGTCTGGATTCACTATCTTTGTGTGGGTGGTTATAAAGAGAAAATATTAAGGCAGGAGAAGGGATTGTTCTTTTTAAAGTTATATTGAGGTTAGATTCCCTCACCTCTACATACAACCAAGAGAATCCGCCAATCACTCACATCTATTCTTTCCTTTAACAGGATATATACATGTGTGTGCTATACAGCTTTACAATAACATATAACAATTTTAAACGTTCAAATTATATCTACTCAAACAATATTTTTACATAGGACTGAGCACAGATATACGTACTAACTACTAAGTATGCATTTTGATTCCGTTATCCGATTCGTATTAACTAAAAAAACGTTGTAGTTATATTCGTATCGGATAACATGTATCAATATATTCTTAAACTATATGTGACGTACCAATTACCCTAACTCTTAAAATAATTCTTCTTTCGAATTTTGTAAGCATGCTTTTGATTTGTATATATGTTTCTTGAATATTAATAGTTTATTTAAAGGTTGTTCTTTTTTTTTTATAATTCAAGTTTCATGTATTGGAAAGTGGAATTTGGCTATCTTTTAGTGTGGTTTTTCAAATACGATGTCTTACGTACACATACTGATCAAGTGATCAGACTGAGAATTTGTGAAAATCAAATGGTGGCATCCTTTATTTTGTCGGTATAGAAGTTCAACAATATTTTGTTGTGTCTATCGAAAGCTTGATTTGAAAATAAGATTCTTTCAAACTACAAGTGGTAAGGATAACAACTATTTCAAAATGCAAGTGGTTTAGTAATGATAAAAATAAGAACGTGAATTTTTTTTTTCAAGAATTGATAAGAAAATTTGACGAGAAGATAAAAAAAGATTCATGCCCAACAAAAAAAAAAAAAATCAAATTATACTACAATATTTTTTTTGCTGTCACATAGTTACATTACAAGTAAGCTAACTCATGATCATGCGCGTCATGAATACCACGATGCATGGTACGTAGCTTAGTATATTTGCAAAGATACGATCATGCGTACATATAATTTGGTATACCATAGACTAGGTAAGTCTAAATTTTTTTTCCCGTCGACATCGGTGAATAAATATATTATTTCTTCGTCTGAAATATGGTATATGAAGGGACATATATTGTATATATACAATGGTGGGGGCAACAATACCGAAGAGCAAGCCAAGATAGAGATGAGACACAACACAACAAACCTTACACTTTTTCTTTACCCTTCTTTTTAGGAGCAATTCTTGTATTTATACACCCTTACTTAACTATAAAATGCATCACTATCTATCCTGGATTATTAATATATATACAATCCTTGGGATGGATACAAATATATATCTTATTATTCCATAGATAAAAGAAAACTTATAAGATATTACTTATATATTTTTTAACAAAAAAAATATATTATTCGAATTATCAAGAGACAAGCTATATATATAATATTATATAGAATTTATTATAATCACTCATCAAACTTTTTAAAAACGTTATATGTTATAAGACTAATTTTTTTACGAATCGTGCATAATTCTAAAGACGATGTCAAAATTATGGACCCTCCTTTAGTCCTCACCTAATCATATATAAGAAAAAGATACCCATTTATACACAAGAAGACCAAACAAGAGAGGAAAGTAAAATTAGGACCATATTAAAAACAAAATAGAAAACGGTAATAATAATTGCAAACAAATAAAAATAGGTCTGCACATACGATATGTGTCCATAAGGATAGATCGATGCCTATACGACCAAAAACGAAATGTACAAACCTTTTTTTATCTGAGCTTTTTGCCTCAATATCGTAGAAAAAGTAACACGAAATTACAAAGAGCCAGCAAATACAAAAAAGCGGTGTGAAATCAGGAAATGATCGAAGAAAGAAAAGAAAAAAAATATGAATTACTAAAAATATTTTTTAAAGAAAGAAAAAATAAAAGAAAGAGGAAAGGGTCAAGAGAGCATATATTCCCTTCTCCAACAGAACCCCACTCATGTTTCCAGATATGGAGTGAGAGAAGAAAGATAAAGAAAAACATCAACCACTACAAAGACTTATATAGATATATATATATATATATATCTATAAATCTCCATATCTTTGCCAACAAACCCAACAATCTTTGAAGACAAATAACCCTTTCGTTTCTTATTTAAATTCTTGGAGTCGTTCTTGATTGTATATTAGAGAGAGAGCTTTGTATGTGTTTGTTAATGGAGAGCAACACTAATAATGTAAATAATAATCAGAAGACAAAGATGAGTCTTGTATTGTCAACGGATGCTAAACCCAGATTGAAATGGACTTGTGAGCTTCATCAAAGATTCATCGAAGCCGTTACTCAACTCGGAGGACCTAACAGTACTTTAATCTTCATCTTCTTTTAATGTTTTTGATTTTTAATTCACCAATTCTTGACTGGTTTTGTTTGTTTGTTCCTTTGTGTTTGCAGAGGCAACACCCAAGGGTTTGATGAAGGCTATGGAGATTCCTGGGCTTACCTTATATCACCTCAAGAGCCATTTACAGGTAATCATGCTCACCACAATCTTTGATTGGATCAATGTTTATTTTTCGATTTTTGTTTCTGGAATATCAAATTTGGCTGATTTCATTTTATTTTTCTGCAGAAATATCGGCTAGGGAAGAGCCTGAAGTTCGACGATAACAAGCTAGAAGGTTTGAGATTCTTCCATTAATTTTTAACATTGATAATGTTCTTGTGACAAACAAGTTAAACAGATTCTTGAGTTGATCTGACCAAATTGGGTTAATAAACATTTAAATACTTATTTATGATTTCTTTCTTGGTCTTGCAGTTTCTTCTGCTTCAGAAACCCAAGAATCTGAGAGTAAAAATGATTCTAGAGAGTTCAGAGGCAGTGTAAACGAAGAAAACAACAATCTAGCTAACGAGTAATGATCAGAGCATGAAAACAATAATATCATCTATAGATAGATTATTTGAAAAAATTGAAAAATAATCCTTTTGGTTTGTTTAAGCAGAGGCTCGCAAATCACGGAGGCTTTACAACTGCAGATGGAAGTGCAGAAGAAACTCCATGAACAAATCGAAGTAATAAACATCAATTGAATCTTCTGAATTATAAGCATCGAAATACTCTCTTTGGGGTCTTAAAAATGCTTTGGTTTTAGGTTCAGAGGCATTTGCAAGTAAAGATTGAGGCACAAGGGAAGTATTTACAGTCAGTTTTAATGAAAGCTCAACAAACTCTCGCTGGCTACACTTCTTCCACTCTTGGCATGGACTTTGCGAGAACCGAGCTCTCCAGGTTAGCTTCACTGGTGAATCCGAGTTCTTCATTATCAGAGGTAACGCAAGCGGAAGGATACGAAGAAGCAGAGGATGTGGAAGAAGGTTTCTTGTGGTGCAAGAAACCAGAAAACAGAGGAATTAGGCTGCCAAGATATTCGGTTGAGAGCTCGTTGACATCCTCAGAGAGCTCAGAGACCAAGCTGAATAGTAATGAAGACGAGAGGAAATCGATGGAGCTTCCATTGATGGAGATCAAATCTGAAGTAAGGATAGGGGAGAAGAGAAGCTTAAACGACGTCGTTTGCATGGAACAACAGCCTATAAAGAAGAGAGATTTTGGAGTTGATGATGAGCAGCACTTGAGGCTAAGTTTGAATAGTTACAAGAAAGATATGGGGACGTGTCCGAACATAGGACTAGGGCTTAATTAAAAAGAACAAAAGACGCCTATATTATTAAAAAGATATATATAAAAATGTTTTTAAAAAATCAAATATATGTGCGTAGATTTCCATAGAATATTGTAGAGATTTTGTGAGTAAGTCGCGTGGTGAAGAACGCATGAGACTATTCTATATGAGTCAACATGATTATATATACTATATAGAAAATGTGTGATATGTGTGTATAGATTAGGTAGGGAGAGGCTTGTGGATGTGGTAAAGGCGAATTTGAGGGCAACTTTTTATGATCAATGAAAGAAGCAAAATGATTAAATTAGAGTGAGCTTTCATCATTATGTCCCGACTATGATAAGCATGTTGGCTTCTCAGTGGTTGTTTTATGACAAGACAAACCATATATATATATATATATATATATATATATATAACTTGAGTCCTCCGAACAAATTCGAATATCTTCCGTAATTATTTTACTTAATACTTTGAAGTTTTCTTTGGAACCCCATGAGAAGAAGGTAATATTTGTAATCACGTATTACATAGAGGAAAGATAATCACGTGTTCATGAAAACGAGGCTTAGCAGTTTTTTCGACCAAATGAAGATAAGCTTTCTATATAACCCATTAAACGAGGAAAGATAGTCGTTTGGATATTTTCCTGGCGGAGTATATATTAGATAACATTTTCATGTTTCTTTTCTCTGAAAGAGTTACATTTTTCACAGTGGCGGATGTAAAACATTTTTTAGTTAGAGACATTTTCAATAAAATACATATTATTTTTTATATAATTGGGGGCACTTTTCTATAAATTCATTTCAATACCATTCTAAATCAATTTTCTTAAGATTTATTTAATAAAACAAAAAAAAAAGAGTAGGGGGCATGGGACCTGATTTTTCATATTTTCTTTTTAAAAATAGCAACCACAAATTTGTTTTGACATTTTTCTTTATGTGGTACCACAATAATTTTACATCTATTTGACTTAAACTCAGAGTTGACTCATTTTGACTTTTAAGTTTACAAAAAAAAGAAATGTTATTGAGTAAATTAGAAAACCAAAAGAGTTATAAGTCCTAGCTTTTCCTTTTTATTTCACCCATCATGAGTAGAAAGTAACGAGAATATATAATCTAACCATTGTGCACAATTTTAAGGGAGAAATACTTCGTACTTGATCCATGGGAGCATACAAACAATTAAAAACGGGCACCAAATAATTTGAGAGAAATATAAGTTGAAAACTTGAAACTATTACGTTTTTTCATTGTCTTATCCAAAGCATATGTTTTTAGAACCCGTGATATCTATGTAGCCAAAAACTTATTTTGTCCGAATTCAATTATTTTTGTTTTGACATTGTCCCAAATTTAGTGTGAAAACGTTCTTGGTATCTAGCAAGTCATGTAAATTATGGCTCTGTTATATGCAGTGTTTGCAACAATACGGTCGGTGTAGTTGAAAGTTGAAACCAACTAATAAAATGGGTAAATAAATGTGGAAAATTTTGGTTAAAGCTAATTTCAATTCATGTTTTAGTGATTGAAAGATCACAAATGATTTTTCAAAATATTTTCCGGAGCTATAACAGATGTCGATGCGACAATATCAAAGACCAAACTTTGTTTGGCCGATCAAGCATTTCTTAAATTAGTGATGGAATCTTATATTACAAAATCATTATTATACATTATGAGGAATTTTATTTTTAATAATTAGGAGATCTTGGACCAAAATTGGTATATTTTCCTAGATTCAGACTGATTTTTAATATTATTAGTCATCTCGTATCTGTCATTCGATCTTGTGATCTCTTGAATTAATTCAAGATATTTTCAAGTTGAGCTATTGACTTCTAATTACACAAACTAAGATTAACCATCACCGAACTTAGTTTGGTACTAAGGATCAACGTTATACATCACTTGTACTTGATTGATGTGTAAAGAGATCTGATATGCACATGATACTACCACCTATTCGCATCCTATGTAGAGTTTTGGGTCCAACTTCAGGAACGTTCTGCTCACATGTTTATGTTTGATTTATTCGAATTTACCCGCAAAAGTATCTCAAAGGTTAAAATAAAAGAATGATTCAGGTGCTAATGTCACAATTTTTTTTTACTTACGCATGAACTCAGACAAATTATGCTGGCCGAGGACAGAATTTCATACTCAGGCCCATCTCATATAGAGGCCCGTATTTGCCCAATATTGTTGAGAACATGCCCATTTAAAACACTGAATTTCTAATCCATACCTTAATCAAGAATTCACGATTGCAAATCTCAAATATCAAGGAACTAAATAACAATTTAAATAGAGGGAGTTAAGATAAGCTAAGATGGACATCAATTTATATTATAAACTATGAAAGTACTGAAACCAGGACTATTTTTCTATAGTTTTCCAAACTGGATTCGGTTAAGTTACTGCAAATTAAACCGGATGCCAGCCAGGGTCGAATCGGCCAAGCCCACTGTTTTTTTTTCTTTCATTTAGCAGTAGACACAAGCCGGTCCAAAGCCTTAACCGTCAAAATCAGGACCAAATTAGGACCCGGTTTAAATCAAGATCGGTTGAATGCAGCTTGACTCGATTAGTCCATCTAAACATCTCTCCATTAGAAACTAATCTCATCAGCCATTTGTTTTAATGATTGTGCATTAGACCTTTATCCACCGAGAGAATATCTATAATTCAATTATAACCCAAGTTTGCTTTGCTTTTAACTTCTTTTAGATCCTTTCTCATCTCATGGAGGCCGCCTCTTCTCATCAGAGATCTCATTAGTCACAACTCACATCAAAGACCCCAATCGGGAAAAAAGAATATTACTACTTTAAATTCAAAACAAAAATTACAATACAAAACAGTCTCTTATAAGGATCAACATTCAAGATTTCGTTATCTTATTTTTAAAAATGTATGTTTTGGGGTTTTTAAGTAAAGGAAAAGTTGCAACTTTAGGACTAACCTCGAGAATAGAGAAAAGCAAAGGGGAAACTCAAAATCAGCAAATGGGTATTTTGTTTTTTGGACCAACGACTGGTCTCCCCCTGCTTTGTTTTTGAGCCTGCAAGTAAATATACAATCCTCAGTTTTTAAATTAAGTTACTTTGAGACAGAACCTGATGCTTCAGAATGTTCCAAGTACCATGTGATAAATAAATAAATAAAATTTGCTAAAACAAAATTAAAAGAAACTTAAATGACAACAGTAAAGAAAAGGGAAGTCAGATAAAGAAAAAGATCGTTCCTTATGAATCAATGAGGTAAGGAAAAGACATAAAATAATAATTAAGGGAAACTATATCGAAACCAAAGTGGGTCTTTTTGAATCATTGCATTGAGGATTAAGATCTGAAGATGAATCAACAAGGTGGGGAAAAAAAAGCATTAAGAGGCATAATTAGCATAAACAAACACATACAAAATGATCATTAGCATCGGTGATTCTTAAACTTGGCAAGCAAATATCGAATCTCTCAAGATCTAATAGTAATTTCTATAGTAGAGAGTAGAGACTATGGTTTATATTTTCTACAGTACAGAGGTCGTCAAATCACATGGTTTATTATTCATCAAGGGATCTAAATGTATCTTTAATGCATAACTTCAGTAAACTACTACATAGTATCACAAGCCAAACCGAATATGAAGCCTTACGTTATGGTTGTTTTTCAATATTGTGTGATGTTAGTGAGGAGATAAAGATGAAGTAGCACAAGTAAACATGCAGATGATGTTGTTACTTAAAAAAGTGAGCTAGGGATCCTAAAGTAGAGGAGGAAGATCTTAGAATAATATAAAGAATCATTCTTAAAGAGAGAAAATAATAAATAATGTATTTGTTTCTTTTCGAAGAGGGTTGCTATGTTGTATGTACCTTTGTTTTTCCAAAGTTTAATGCTTTATATGAGTAGCTTGTTCCTGTAGGCTGTAGCAATGGAATAGTAACAACGGTCTGCAAGTGGCCCACGGCTGCTCCGGTCCTCTGCGTTTCTTCTGCCATTCAACAAAACCACTTTCCTTAACAACAAAGGAATTATGACATAACCAGAATCCACAGCATAAAAGGGCGTATAAACTTGAATGATTAGTATAGAACCCATTGTCTCTAAAAGTTAAAGGCACTGTATATTTCCAAGTAGAAATTGTGAAATCAAGTAAAAAGCACTCGATTCGGTGAATGTGCCATATTAGAAAGCAGATAAGGAAACCATTGAAATTTGAACCGTAGCTTAACTTTTTCATGCTGTCTCTTAAAACTAATCTTCAATATATTCAGAAAAGAAGAAAGCAAATAATCAATATATAAGAACCAGCTTATAACAAATCACTTGATTAGGCTAGGGAAGCTTGTCACTGGTGGATACAGAGAACTCACTAAACATGTTCATGAAAGTATAAGATTTACATGGCTAGTTAGTAAGGTCTCCAAAAACACCAAATTTTCAGCCAAGATTAGAAGCAATGGCAAAGGATATGGTTTAAAAACCAAATGACAAGTGTAGAGTTGTAGAGAAACCAATGAAGAAAGATACTTAACTTCCCAGCGGTTTTCGTGTACCAAACTCTTTTGTACAATCATTGTCAGATTCTTCCGTAACAGCCTTAATCTACTTAGATTTCCAAAGCAATGTTTTTTAAGTGAATCTGAATTCCCCAGGGTCCCAGGGACCCCACTGTGCGCTTTACACTTTAAAGCTCCCTCCAAATCCCAATAACTGATATATAACAGGACTATATCTACAGGAAGGAACACACATGAAATCAGAACTCAGAAGGGTCTACAATCTCATAACCCCTTAACACCTCTCATTTCTTTGAAGAAAAAGAATAGATTCTCTGATTCTTCTTGTCTGCTTAAGAGCAGAAATGCTGGGTTCCAGTACAAGATTCATCCTTTTCCTTCTTGTCTGCATAGGATTACTAGCAGACAACAGATATAAGGTCTCAGCCTCGAGAAGTAGAGAGATTTTCCTCAGACAAACACAAGAAGACAAAGCTAGAGTTCAGCCAGGTGAAATTGCTAAGCTAAGAAGCATCGGTTCTCATTCTAGGAACAACGGTGAAGATCAAGGAACGCTCAGCGAAAACCGGCGCATTCTTCTTGAGGACGTTAACAAGAATAAAGTCAGAGCTGAGAAGACGCAAGAACAAAAGAATAAGACAGAAGACACATTCCAGTCAAGCAAGAGACGTGTAAGACGAGGATCAGATCCCATCCACAACAAATCCCAGCCATTTACTTGAGTGGCGACACAACAACAATCAAATACAGAAAAAGGCGATATATTATTATAGAAATGCAAGAAAGAAGAAGAAACAAAGGCGCAACGATCAACCTTATCAAGCTGGAGGTAGGTTAGTTGGTTTCAAGTATAGGTTTGATAAAACACAGAAATATTGGCTTCAAAAGCCATCACTACGCACAGAACAGCATTGTCTCTGTTCAGATACATCATCAGGAGAATACATACTTGTTTTCAAAATATTTTCTTGACTAAGTCTTTTCACTCTTTTGTTTGCAATTGTTTTAAGTTTTGTTCTTTCTGCATTGTTTTGACTCCACCAAAAAACATTTCTTATGTATATACTCGTATCTCAAAGGTTTTGATTTGTTCTACAATTTCACTGTTTCCTCATGAAAGCTATACCCTCAAGCTCAATCATTTAGGAAGATAAAAGATTTGACAGAAAATGATTACCAATCTCCTTAATCTAAAATACAATTCAATATATTTGCCTTTCAGAATTGTCACAAAATTTCAGAACCAAGAATGTGAATTCCTTGTTTCTTCTGAATGTTCACTTACTCATGGATGAACATTTATGACATAAAGCCGTAAAATCAACCTTAAAGCAATCGCAATTCACACTTGAATATATTATTGGAACTAAAAGCCTACATGCGATGCGATCCAACCAATAATCGGTAGCTGAAACTCCTAAAATCGAAGGCGCCGTGAAAACCCAGTGGTAAAAACGAGGACTTACATGTTCTACTCTGAATATATCTTCCGACAAGTTAAACTCCGCCGCCGACTCAGCATGTCCTCTTACGGAGGAGGAGAAGCCGCCGCGAGTAACCGCCAGTCACGACGGTTCAGTCGCCGAGCGCCTATAAGCCTAATTAGTTGTTAAGCCCAGTCTATAATTTAGTTATTAGGCCCAATCTTTTATTCAAATTAATTGGGCCTATTACTTAAGATGTTTTTTTTGCGCTCGATGACTGTTCGTCTCTTCGATAGTGCTCGACGATTAAAGTTAAAACAATCGAAAATTTGGCTTTGACCTCAACCTTGGGGAAATGTTAAACTTATGCCTAAACAATTTTTGGCTAACACATACTTAAACTTTATTTTAATTTGAATTTCATACTTAATCCATCTATTTTGTGCTAAATCCAATTTTCGTATAGTAGATGTTAAAGATCCGTCAAATCATGTATACATGGCATCCACATCAGATACGTTATCGTTTTGTTCCATCGAAAGTTTCTAAAAAATTGGTAAAACGATATCATTTTATCAAAGAGAAAACGACGTCGTTTTCAAAAAAGCATATGACAAATTGCTTTTTTTTTCAAGCCAACATTACTTTGATCCTCTCACTGAACAAAAACTAGCCTCCCAATTCCAGGAGCGGATGTAGTTTAGATGGAACGGGGTCACGTGCCTCCAACTGTTTTTTTTAAATAATATAGGTAAATTAAAATTTTTTTTTTAATGTAGTGGTAAAAAGGAAAATGTGTCTCTAACAAATTTTTTTTTCCTTATTTATAAAATTATGCCCCCAATTCTTTTTTTCCTAGATCCGCCACTGCCTCCCACTACCCATACCTTGTCCAAAACCTCAACCACCATCGTCTTCTTTTTCTTCCTCTGAAACCAACTTAGACACCGTCACAATCAAAGCTCCATCATCACAATCCACAAAAAAACTCAGACCTAATCGATTTCGGGAGCCTACTGAAGGCTCCACCGTAACAAGCTCAGGCCTATGGTGAGTTAAGGCTCCTCAATAATTCATTATATATGTGGAGCACAACCTTAAACTCCAAATCAAATGGTTAAATTCAAACACACACTTGATATATATGAAGACTTAATATCCAAAACAAGGAAACAATGAACATGTCAAGCTGCAAGCTTCAACTGTCCATCAGGTCCTATCAACAAGTTATTTGGATTCATATCCCTGAAGTCAAACGAAACATAATCAGTGATGACCAAGAAGCATTACAGAGACCAAAAAAAAAGTTCTTTAGGATAAAAAACTACATGTGTAAGACCCATTTCTCGTGGCAATAAGCAAGTCCTTTTAGCATCATTAGGAGGTAAGATTATATGTCGGCAGGTGAGAGCAATATATTTGAATCGCGAATGACTCCTTCGAGACAGTTTCCATGAAGGCAAATACAAGATGCAAATTTTCTTTCTGAGGAAATGCATCTATCAACAGAATTATATGGGGATGCTTTAGTTCTTTGAGCATTTTGATTTTCCTGAGAGCCGTAATATTTACAACTTCCTTTTGTTTTCCATGCCTTATCTTCTTGATTACTACAGTTTTCTCCGTCTGCAATTCCCCCAAGAGAAAGAAAAAAAAAAGAAACAATTACTTCCCATCATCCAATGAACTAAAGCTTCCAAATCCATTCACAAATTTCATCTGACATCAAACATGAGAGGAAACACAATGTCTGTATGATGGAGAGATTAAAAATCAAAATCATATGACAAAATAATAATTTGGAGATCTAATTAACATCCAAAACAGTCATAACCAACACTAAACACTTTGATTTGAAATCCCAAGATCGAGTCATCTAGAGTCGAGAGATTAAAGAACCACAGTAAACAAGTTTTTTTTTTAAATTATAAAACGACGTCGTTTCTCCTTAGTAAAATGATTTCGATGGAACAAAATAACATCGTATCTGACATAGATGCCACACATACATGATTTGACGGATCCTTAACAGCTACTGGACCGAAATTGGATTTAGCACAAAGTAGATTGATTAAGTATGAAATTCAAATGAAAATAAAGTTTAAGTATGTTTTAGCCAAAAAAAATTGTTTAGACATAAATTTAATATTTTCTGAAAGTTGAGATCTGAAAAAGCCAATTTTCCTAAAACAATTCATGTACATATTTATTTATTTTGTGCAACAAGAATCCATTTATTAAATTAAAAAATATTTGCATGAATATATAGAATTATAGATAGAATAGAAACGTTACGCCAAAATGCCTCCATGATTTATATGAGATCTAAAATTTCGGCTACACTTTAACTTTCTGTTCCAACCCTAGTGGCCGAATTGCATGATGCGCGTGCCATTTTGGTCATTGATAAGATCGTCAATTAGGACGTTGTTCTAATCCGTATTTATGATGCTGTTTGACCCACGATTTTTTATTCGACTTATAAGATTATAATTGTAAAAAGCTAAGTAAAATAATAGTTCAATCAATGTCCTATCGACGAAATTATTAACAAAATTATACACGCGATTGTTTAATTTGTTAGTATTGTGTGGTCAAATATCGTCGATAGTTGGGGGATTCGGATTCTAATCAAGCGTGATTGGTGACTAGGCTTTGGAATAAAGGACAAAACGTAAAACCTACAGGAATTATTCATTTTTATTCTGTCTGCACACACAAAGAATACTTTTTATCGACCGTGGTATTACTGAACAATGTATGATAAATTAATTCATCTTTCTAGTAATTTAAGAGAGTATAGTCTTAACTAAACATCAATGAATTAGAATCTATATTAATTATATTAAGTTTTTAGTTAATTAGCTCACAAATTTACATGAATGAATTTGAATGTTGTCTAAATGTTTTTGTTACTCTAATTTAGAATAAATAATTCATCGTTTTGATTCTCATTTGGAAAGTACGATTGAGACCTCAAGGTTAAAATTCCAAAGTTCTAAGCTTTCATAGCTGAAAAATAAAAATTCTACTAAAAACAAACAACCTAAGCTAGTGAGATTAAAAGGATCAGCTTCGAATAAGACGACGACGACGAGTGAGCTATGACATGGATCTTGTGAATGGGGTAAAGGAATTAAGCCAGGATTTAGGAGGCCATTAACAGATAATTCAGGTATGGAAAGTCTGAAATTCTGTATTGAAGGAGAAGAAGACAAGCTTCGTTGCTTATGCCTATGTTTAGGTCGTTTGTTTTAATGTAATTAAGTCGGGGTTTCTTTTTCATAGCGTTTGGGTAGGGATTTTTTTATGTCGGAATTTATTGTTTTACGTAATTGATTTTTAACTGAAATTAACGGATTCTATCACGGTTAAAAGGAAACCACTAGAAAGTTAGAGAGATGTGAACTAGTCACACTTTTGTTAAGTTTGTGCATGTCTAACTTAGTTCGTGTAGTTGACAAATATTTTTAAAGTTAAGGTTATTATCGCAGATATACGAAGCTGTGACAGAGTTAGAAAACTATAATTTACAATACATTTTCTACTTGTTGGAATAAATCATATTCTTTACACTCTTGTGATGTAGCTACACACTCATATTTTTATTGGAATGTGTATGTGAAAAAAAATAAATTAGTTGTACTGTTAAACCGCATTTATAAATATTCCATCAAAACTAGTATGTTACTGAAGTTACATCATTTACATGTAAATTTAACTCAAGCCATAATGAAACAAAGGAGATACGATCGATATGTAGCCGGAACCGAAGGGTTTAAAGGAGATGCTCGGCCTATATATGGGGGAACCATGGTGATTACTGATTAGAAACTTAAAAAATTTGGATGTCAAAAAGTAAACTAAAAGAAATAATAATTGAAGGGTGTTTAGAAGAGGACACACAACCATAATTACGACCCAACGCTAATCAATAACGTAAGCAAAATGCAAAAGCAAGACTAAATTGCGGCGCCACAGTAATGACAAGAAGTGAGGAGAAGAGGTCGGTAAAGAGATAAGAGTCTAAGATAGTGGTTAAGGAAATTAGACAAATTTTATTTGTATGATTAAATTACAAAATGAAGTTTGGCAATTGTCACACGGGCTAAGTATGAAGTCTTCAATTGCTCCACTATTGCTAAGTATAAAGTATTCATTCAAAACAAGAGTATTCAAGGAGCGTTGTTTCTACTAAAGACATGTAGCACATTGGTACAAGTCAAAGTTTTTGCAGAACACGTAATACCTATATTAGAAAGAAATATTTAGATTAAGCGGTTACTATGAAAACTTACCGTTAATAGACCTCTTAACCAATAATTTTCATTATATAAAACAGAATATTGCAAGATGTAAATAAGAAAATGGTCCCTAATTTTTGACCGTTGACAAACCAAAAAAACAAACAAATTAGGAAAGGTTCAAATGAAGCAGGTAAAAATGTAGTGGGGCGAGATAGCGAAGTTTACTAAAATATGGGGCTCTGACGTGAATTTTTGGAAATGATAAAACTGTAAGTTGTACAGTGGAATATGAAATTGCAGGGCAGCTGTTATTGTCCTTTAGTACGATGCATGTAATGGGCATTTGCCACGTATACACTTTGGACTCAATCCTTCCCTCTTCCTTCGAATATATTCCTTCCTATTTAATTTCCTTTTTATTTGTATATTTTTTATACACATTTCTTCTTCTCCACCAACAAGTTACCCACTGGTGAAAAGTGAAAACCCATACCTTACAATACAAATGTCCCGTAAAATCATTCAAGAAAAAAAAGCTTGTGATAGGACCCAATTTTTTTAAAAAAATATATCTTTATACAGTCTATAACGTATGAATAGATATCAAGAAACTAGTGACTAAAATATTCAGAAATTTTTTTTTATGTTTCACCATAATAAGAAAAAAGTGAAAAAGAAAAGAAAAAATTGAGTTGCAAGTTTTCATTTTGATATACAGTGAGTGTGTTCTTCTTTTTGCTGTGTGTGTGTTTTGGACGTTTGTGAGTAAGCACTTATTACATTTTCAAGTCCTAATTATATTTCATCACTGCCATGTTCTTTACCGATATAATTACATCATCGTCACATGCACTTACTTAATTATTTTTTGTTTTAATTATAAAAAAACCAAAATAAAAACCCACAAAACCTAATCTCCTCTTTAACTACGTTTAATCAGAAAAGAGTAAACACACTATAAAGACACAAGTAAACTAAAGCCTATGGATTTGTCTTCAAAACACAAACTCCCATTAACAAACAACTCTCCTTTCGCCGGAAATCTAACCGTCGCCGGAGAAATGGGTGTCTGTTACAAAGAGTGTTTGAAAAACCACGCGGCCAACCTCGGCGGCCACGCGCTCGACGGCTGCGGCGAGTTTATGCCGAGCCCCACCGCCTCATCCACCGATCCTTCCTCTCTCCGGTGCGCCGCTTGTGGCTGCCACCGTAATTTCCACCGCCGTGACCCTTCCGACCACCTTAATTTCCTCCCCACCTCCTCTCCCTCCGGCACGGAATCGCCGCCGTCATCTCACCACGTGGCATCCCCTGTTCCTTGCTCTTACTACACCTCAGCTCCACACCACGTGCTTCTCTCTCTCAGCTCCGGCTTTCCTGGACCGTCAGATCAAGATCCGACGGGTTTTAGATCGGAGAACAGCTCTCGAGGAGCAATGAGGAAACGGACGAGGACCAAGTTCACGCCGGAGCAGAAAACAAAGATGAGAGCTTTCGCCGAGAAAGCAGGGTGGAAGATCAACGGCTGCGATGAAAAGTCGGTGAGAGGTTTTTGCAACGAGATTGGGATCGAGAGAGGAGTTCTTAAAGTGTGGATGCATAATAATAAGTATTCACTTCTCAGCGCTAAGAACAGAGAGATCTCGTCGATGGATCATAGTCGTCTTTGTTTGAACAGTCGCAGCTTTAACAATGGCGGCGATGAAGGAGATAACGTTGATGGGTCTTATTCTTCTTGATAAAGATGAAATCTTTTGGTGAAGCAAATTAGGATACTTTTAATTTGGGGGAAATATGAGCATTAATTAACCGTTTTTAGATCTTATAATAGTAAGTTCTAACATGTAATCTGATTAATATATATATATGAGAGTTTTTATAATGTTATTGATCTTTTCCGTTTCTTACTATTTTTGTTTGACAGAGATGTTCAGAGATCGTAATGGGTTTGGTAATATAAAAGAATGTTTAGTCGGAGTTAAGCCGGGGGAAAAAAATCTATCATTCTACTTATAGTAAGTGCATAAGCCCTGATTGTGATCAAGAAAAAAAAATCTCAAGATTCGTTTATTTGTTTTTTATATTAAAATTCGACACTAGTATTATTCAATGTTATCTTCTGTAGAATTGGAAATAATCTCCTGAGCTTTTAAGAAAAAGTAAGTAGAATTTGCTTAATTATGAGATACGACGTGGTTATTAAGAAAGCAACAAACTATGTCGTGGCCGAATATAATTAGGTCATCTGGGCGGCACATTTTGTTAATTTATATTTAAAGTTATAAAATTGCGGGCTTATCTCTTTTTCTTCTCACCTTTCCATTTAAGGATAAGCTTGGGGCAACAGCAAACTCGCTTACTTATCCTAATTAAGAATAATACAGATGTTCCAATTATTTAAATACATGGCTCTTCTTTAGCTGCACCACTGATCCGCGCTTGTCCAATGATATTAAAGAAACTCGTCTTTCTATTGTTCTTTTTTTGTTCTTTTTTGGCAAAACACTGGTACTGTTGTTTCTTTATTACCAAGAGAAATTATCATGTATATATAAATTGGTCTAAGCTCAATGCTGAAGACAAATATATCCCAGCACAAGGGAAAGACAAGCCAGTACGATCCAATATCAGACAGAGACTATTGTATGTGAAAAGATTATGTAAACAACCAATTGCATACGTTTTTAAGGACATTTGATGCACAATATATTTGCAACAATGCATATTTGGGGGTAAATTAAGTGTTTAAGACGCTACATATACATAGAAATGGAAGGCCGGTACGTGCTTAATTATGGTCGGATAAATGAACAATTTGTATGCTACTAATTTAGATTCCAATATGACAGTCAAATATATCATATCGAATTTATTTGTATGATGAATGCATGTACATATAACGAATGAATGATTAAAATTCAAATACAGACTACAAACAAAATCATGCCATGACTCATATAACAACGGATAACGAAGGCCTACCAACATAACAACAATGAGCAAATCCGTCAGTAATCCATTATTAGTTACCTATTAAGAAAAGTTGTTGTCAAATCGTTGTGAAATTTACGAGTATGTAAAATTCACTGTTACTTTATTTTAGTTGTTGAATTCGTTGTTACTTTGTCGATATAGTAGCAACTTATATAGTCTTGGTCTTTAAATCCTCTGTGACAGACTGACAGTGCTGAATAATTTGATCCACAAAATATGCGAATTGCATTTGGAAAATCATTTTTGTTTTTTCTTTTCTTTTAAACTGTCTTTTGTTTACTCGTAGCTATGTAATGACGAAATTTCGTCTCAATTATGTCGTTAATCCGCTCTCGCTTCTAGGGATATGGCTATTATCCTATTGCTGCCGAATTAACCATGCACACTATATATAACTGCCTATAATATTATCTTAAAGTTCTATATAGTTTTTGTTGACAGTAATGCATAATCGGAGTTTACACTATCTATCTATCTTTCTAGAAAGGCAATTTATGCTATTCGTAAAAGAGAGAACTTAATGGAATGCGTTGCGATCACAAAAATTTCAATACGGTCCTCAAAGGCTCAAACTAATATATTCGAAACAGGGCGAAACTATAGTATTACCATGGTTATTTGTTATTGGAATAAAACCCATATTGTATAGTTCCAAGCCCACTGGATTAACTCTTAGGTCAACTTGACATGCCTCTGGTATGTAAATACGTGAATGTGATCATCAAACAAGAATTCTTCCGCTCAATTTTCTCCAACTCTCTTTGAGTAGGACTCCAGGAACAAAGTTAAAACTCTTCTTCTATATAAAGTTCCAAATATAAAAAAACGATTTCTTCTTTAGCTTTAATTTGGGCTGCAGGGGTTTCAAATTTTGGAATGGGTTGTTAGGCTTTTATTTTTTATTTGGGCTTTGGTTATTGTTGTTCAAATCTTTAACTCGTAACTTTGTTTTGGTCTTATCAGCCTCTTAATATATACACATACACTTGCATTGATTTTAGTATTTTACTAAACAAAATATCAACCATCTTACTTTGCACTTGATTAATAACATTTTATCACTTTAATAGTTATTAATCATAATAGCGATAACAACATGATATTTACGTCCTTTCATATTATTATTTTTTATTCCCATATTGTTTACGGTTTCTCTTCCTATATTTTATTTTTACCGACTCAAATGTTATCAAAAGGACTGAGGAAATCTGGATATGTCAACATCACTGGACTATTTTATGTCTATTGGTGACACGTGTAGCTCTGCATTTTCATGCACGTTGTAAATGAACAATAACCCAACATGCTAATTAATTTGCTGTTTCACAGAAAAAAAAAAATTAAGGATCAATAAACCAGCCACATCGAAATTAAAATGGAATATTGAAAAAAACATAAAATGTGTGCATCTGCCAAATACATTGTCAATTAATTACATTTTGGACCGTGACTTGCCCATGTTTGGACGGTCGAAAAGCTAAGCTCGCACGTAATTATGTAACATACCAGACTCATTCACTACAAGAATGATGGGCTTTTCCGTCGAATTATTTACAACGATTTTTAGTCATCGTATTTACGACGACAAAAATTTCGTTGTAAATTCGACGTAAAAATGATCCTCGTAAAATCGTCGTAATGTTACGACGATATTACGACGAATGAAAAACGAATTTTATTTCGTCGTAATATTATCGTAATATTTACATCGATAATACGACTAATTGTCCTCTATCTTGTAATTGACGTAAAATCAATGTAAATGTGATGTAAATTTTATTTCGACGTAAATTTGATGTAAATATGCAATGGTAATATGTTGGTAACCAAACAAAAAAAATCTATATATACCGCCAATGCAACAAGATGATTGTATCGACATTACAGAACCTGATGTTGAAGAAAATATTCTTTTAATTGATCTACGTAATCGAGAAGTTGAAGATCTACATGGGGACGAAACAGAAGAAGGTGCTGACGAATTTCAAACAAACAGTGATGATGACGATGATGATGAGGAGAACGAGGAAAATGTTGAAGACTAATTAAGTATGATGTTGGCATTTATATAATTGCATGCTTTGAACGTTTAAATGTAACATTTGTCAAATTTGATAAATTTGTTTAAATTTAAATGTTTAAAAAATGAAAGACAATTAATGAAAAGAAAATTTGCTTAAGTGTTGACTTGGACATATGTTGACTATTACGACGAATTTACGACGATTATTTATAAATCGTCGTAAATTCGTCGTAAAATGTAAACCCTAAACCCTATAGGGTTTAGCTTTCCCAACTCACAGAATGGTTTTTGGGTGCATTTTCCTGAGTAAACTAATGTATTATATAAGGTTTTGTAGTATAAGATTAAAGAACTTGTAGATATGTGGTTTATGTTACGACGAATTTACGACGAATCACACCCATTCGTCGTAAATTCGTCGTAAAATACCATCGAGTTTACGACGAAATGTAACCCCTAAATCTTATAATCAATCTTTTCTGGGGTTCGGAGGGATTTAGATGAAGATAATGATATGGATTACCATCTCATAAGGTAAAACAACTTTCTAAACAAAAAAAAAAAATTTCAAAATTTGAAATATATGTGTTTATCAAGTAATCTTAAGGTGTTATATACATTTAGAAAAGATGTAAGAATTTATCTTAGATCAAACCAAATTCTTCATTATGTTATGTAAACATGCTAGAAACTTATACAGACCACATTTAGCATGTATAGGCATGCTTGTATGTGCTTATGGGTGTTTCAATTTTTGTAATTCATCATTTTTGTACATACCATCGTAAAATCGTCGTAATATTACGACGATTTTACGACGATATGTAAATACATAGCCGTTATAATTTTTATGATTTTTAAGGATTTGTCGTAAATTCGTCGTAATTTTACGATGATTTTACGACGAATAACCCTGATCGTCGTAAATTCGTCGCAAAGTCCAGATACAGCCACGTGTGTGTGTCTTATTCGCTTTGTTGTACGGTTGCAGCTTTACGACGAATTTATGACGAAATCGTACAAAATCCGTCGTAATGTTTACGTCGGATTTACGACGAATAAAAATTCTATATATATGGAAGCACCCCTTCCTCATTTCGTCGCTCATTCAACTTCTTCCTCTCCCTGCTTCCTCCTCACTTCGTTGCTTCCCTGCAAACCCAAAAAATCAGGTAATTTTTTTTTTTACTTAAAATCTAATTTTTATTTTTAATTAGTTTAGAAATACAAACGGTTTAGGTCGGAAATTAGTTTAGGCTCGGAATTTATTAGATTTAGGATCGGAATTTGTTAGATTAAGGATTTAGGGTGTTTGTTAGATTTAGGATCATAATTTAAAATTAATTTGTAATTTCAAAAATAAAAATTTTCCGGTTTTGCAGACGATGACTCGACGGAGGACGCACTACATCAACTTTATGGCGGACGAACACTCTTCCCGGGCGTCTGCCTCGGGAAACACCGGGACCGATGTCCCTTCATCTTCCGGAGCCTCCCAGGTTCCGAATACCGTAGCGGAGCAGTCTCCACCACCGCCTCCACCACCACCTCCACCACCACCTCCACCGCCGGCTCTCGAACCGGTGGCCCACCCTCCTCATCCGTATGCCCAATTTACGGTTGAGGATTTACTAGCCCTACCGGGACGGGGGGCTTTACGACGTCTGGTTCCCGGAAAAGCGGAACCAGGCTCTTATTGGTAAGTAAATTTTTTTTGTTTTTTATATTGTTTTAAATTAATGCTTTAATTTTCTTAAATATTAATGTAATGTTTTTTTTTTGGTTTCATAGGTTTGACTTGGATAATCGTGTCGGTCGGAGCGTTTCCGACACAATTAAGAGTCATTTCGTTGAGCCGCACTACAACTGGAGCAAGGTGTCGCAAGAGACGTTCGACACCTGGTACAAGTGCTTCGCGGTAATGTTTTTTAAATCTTATTTATATCATTTTAAATTATTTTAAATTTAATTAATTTTACTTTATATTGTTTATATAATTTTTTGTTTTCTTTTGCAGCAACGGTGGAACTGGGACATCGGGATCAACGAGACGGTCCGCGAAGCATTCCGGCTGAAGGCGCAGAAACGCCTAGTCAACACCGTTTCCGATTGGAAGCGGAAGTGGGAGACCGATGGAGACGACGCAAAGCCGAGCTCCATGTCCACTTTCTGTTGGAACGGGTTGAAGGCGTATTGGCTGGACCCGCATGCCCAAACCACTGCGACTAAGTGTTCGGCCGTGAGAAACTGGGTCGGTCCTAACGGTCAGAAGTTAGTGACTCCGCACACTTCTGGCCAAATATCTTTTGCGGGAAGACGTCTCATGATGGTAAGTAATTAAATATAAATTATTTCATTATTATTTCATTTTTAATTATTGCTATAATTTATTAAATATTTTTGACTAATGTTTATTAATTGGTAGGCCGAGGAGAACGGAGGAGAACTACCTCCAATGACGAAGCTCTTCGAGACCACTCACCGAAAGAGGGACAGAAGCTTTGTCGACGCTCGGTCAGAGGAGATCTACAATGCCGCTATGCAGCGGATCGCCGAGCGGGAGACCCAGACCACACCTGACGGTACTATCCAAGTACCGTTGACCGTCGCTGAGCAAGACCAGATTTTCGAGGAGGTATGATCTATTTCAATTTTTTAAAATTTATTATATTTATTACTTAATAAATAATTAACGTTTTTATTTTTCATTTGTAGGTTGCTCCGAAGAAGAAGGGCCGAACTTTAGGGATGGGCTCTATTAAAGACTGTTCTGCCGCCTCGGCTTCCAGATTTCGCACGCAGGAGGATCCGAGTGATCTTCGCCTGGAGCTTGCTACGGCCAATGCTGAGATCACCACTCTCAGGCATGAGCAAGTGGACCAGAAGCAGGAGCTCACCGAGATGCATGGTCTCTTCGACATCATTGCGGAAGCGGTTCCGCAGTTGGCCACCGCAATCCGAGCAAGGCAACAGCGAGCACGAGGGGTCTTTGAGACCGGTGGTACTTCCGGTACTGGACCATCGGACCAGCAGACGCAGGGTCAGTCTTCGGCTCCGGTAGTGCAGACGGGAAACGACGGTCCAGCAGCGACGGGCGGCCAAGACGGAGAGCCTCCTCGTGACGTCGATCTCAACCTCGACGATTACGAAATCACATTGTAGATTAGATTTTTTTGTAAAAAACAATTTGTATTAATTTTTTTTTTATTTATAAATTATTTTCGAATTTAAATTTCAATTTAAATTGTTTTTTTTCTATTTTTAATTTTTTGATTATTTTAAAAATTCATTAATTAAATTAAAATCGAATTAAATAATTAATTTATAAATCGACCTAAATTCGTCGTAAATTTACGTCGATCTAACGTCGAATATTTAACGACGGATTTACGTCGAATATGTTTACGTCGGATTTACGTCGAAACTTTACAACGAATTAACATCGACAATTAAAAAATTAGTTTCTCTTAATTGAAATTATTCGTCTCCTAATTGTTGTTAAATCGATGTAATTTTACATCGATTTTACGTCGTTCTTATGATGGACTTATTTCATTGTATTTTCGTTGGAAAATTTATGTCGCGTTTACGACGAATAGTTTCCGACGATATTACGACGATTTTCGTAGGTTGGTAATTTTACGACGATTTTACGACGATTTTACGACGATTTCTGTTTTACGACGATTTTTTTCGTCGTTAATTCGACGTAAATGCTCTTTTACGTCGATTTTACGTCGATATCTGCCGACGTAAAACCCGATCTTTCTTGTAGTGATTGATACACCTGCAACTGTCTATCAGAAAGCTATATACTTCCTCTGTTTTTATATTAATAAATAGTTTTTTAAAAGATAGATTTTTAAGTTTTTAATGCATTTTATTAGTTAGTGATGATGGATTGTAAATTTTTTCCCAAAAATAATTAAGTTTATTGAATTGCTATTGATTTATAGATAATTATTAATTGCAAAAAAGTAATGCTTTTGTAAACTTAAAATGTTTTCTTAACTATGTGAAAAAGGTTAAAAAATCTATTAGTAATAAAATAAACAGAGGAAGTATAAAATAAATTTGCTGATATTTTGTGTTGGTCGCCCAAACGTACAATCTGCAAAGTTACCAACAAAATTGTGTTAAAGATGGTTTTAATTAAAAACTTTATTTAAAGTAAATTAAATGAATAGTTAAAACTCCAAGAAAAAAGAGCATTTGAAGCAAAGTGACAAATGGAGAAGAACCCGAAAAGCAATGCAAATATTGACTCTTGAGTCCTCCCATGTTGAACAATTGGCCGTTCTCCGAAACAAAGTTAAAAAATATAAAAGGTAAATAATTTGAGTAGAGTTATTAGAATAATAAATTTGAAACAGTAACGTATTGACCGAGAAAAAAAACAACTTTATTCTGTCTTTTGGACATCTTAAGAGCAAGAGCATATACATCAGGGGATCATGAGGGGTTCATGACACAGTTTTTGAAACAAAAAATCTTAATATTAAAGAGACAGTATCATCCCGACGAACTTGAAGAGACGGTATCATTCCAAATGAAGCATCCTTATTGGTCGAAAATTATAATTTTCGAATTAAAAAAAAAAACAAAACTAAAACAAAAAAAAATGTTATTCTATTCTAGTGAACCCCTTTCTTAAAGGTTTACTGATGTATGCTCTAAGCACAAACCAATCCTCAACGGAAAAATATGAGTATGTAATATTTTTCTTCTGATTATTTCTAAGAAACAAAAAAAACTCTAAAAACTTAAAAATCCAACGAGAAAGTTGAAGGAGTTGCCGTGTAATGGTGAGATAATTTCCCATCCACAAATCTCGCACCTGATTCCATTGATTTCTCGTTTTTTTCTTCTCTCCTTCTCCAATGACTCTTCACTTTCGTTGTCTCCAATAGTGAGAGATTTTGACTAAATTCTTGGATTTTTTCTCTGCAGAAAAATCATTAGTCATGTCTACACTTCTAGAAAAACAAAACATTTTAGTCTACTTTAACAACAAAACGCGTTGAAATTAACGAGATGGGATTCAACGGAAATTTTGTTACAACGAAGACTTACTTCGATTTCTCCAATAAAGTTTCTTTTGTTGGTTTGAAGCAGTTTATGTACGGAAACACTTTCACAGTTCTCGATGCTTTCTGGGTTTCTCTCTGTAATCTATTCTTCTTCCTTCTCGTCTCTGTTACTTCCTTCATCTTCAGGTACGTTTTTGCTTCTTTCTTTCGTTTCTTCTTCTCACTTCTCTGTTTTTGATTAAAGGGTCTGCTTTCTATAAATTCTTGTAGAGTTAATTCAGACAAAGAGACAAGCTTGGTCATTTTTCAGAAACACAACAACCCAAAAGAGTCCTCTGTTAATTCAGACAAAGAGACAAGCTTGGTCGTGGTTAAGCAACACAACGACTCAAACGAGTCCTCTGTTTACGGAGATCAGAAGCAAATTGGATTCCACGATGTTGACAAGAACGATGCGAGTTCGATTCTCCATGAGAGTTCTCTGGTTTCGATCAGCAAGAGATGCGAATTTTTCTCCGACAAAAGTATCGTTGGCTTTGTAGAAGAACCTAAAGCTGTTTGCTTTTTCGTTCATGATTTTTCCTCTGCTGCTCAAGAGAAAAAGATGGTGACTTTCTCCGATGACTCGAACACGAGTTCCATCGTTTTGGAGAAGAAACCGTTTGTAGTTGAGAACGAGTTGGAGAAATCACAATCAGAAGTATTTTTCATAAAGGAACACGTGAAGGAAGAGATGTTGGTTTATGAGTTTATGAGTTGTGGTGTTTTAAAAGGATTATTAGCTCACGAGGATTTTGTTGGTCGTGAAGAAAACTTGTTCGATGAGGATGGGTTTATAGAACTCAACCCAAGTTTCCAAATTTCTAATATTGCTTATGGACAAGAAGAGGCGGAAGAAGAAGATATTATTATGCAGAGAGAAGAACATTTGAAGCTGGATTTTAAAGAACAAGAAGTATATGATTTAGATGATGATGATGATGATGGTTCAGATGATGATGATGAGTTTGAGCATAGTGATGTGATTGAGAGGTTGAAAACAGAACTAAGGACAGCGAGAGCAGGAGGATTGTGCACCATTCTTGAGGAATCAGAGACTCCTTTAGAAGAGCTGAAACCACTCAAGATCGAACCAAAACCGGATCAGCTCAGAGACAAAATCTCTGAAATTGACAAAGTTTACAAGAATTATGCAGCCAAAATGCGAAAACTCGATGTCATCGATTCTCAGACAATGCACTCCATCAGTAAGTAAATTAATCCCATCTCTTTTCAATGCAAAAGTTCCAATTTTTAATCAGCAAATGCAAATTATTACATTTTTACTATTTTACATATATACAGAGATTTTAATTTCTGTCTGATTTTGTTGAAGAATGTCTCTTTCCTTCTTGAATGTTGTCTCACCTACTCAATATATTATTGGTGGGGTCTATAGTAATTTGGATTTGATTTACAGGTTTGCTAAAGCTAAAAGAATCATCTAAACCGAGCAAAAACACTGTTAAAGCACCTAAATCTTCTCTGCATCAGAATCTATGGCCATTCAAGAAACATAAGCTTGAATGTGACCCGATCGAGAGACTTGTGAAAGAAGCGAGCAAAGACTTTGAGACTGTCTACGTAGGCCAAGTTTGTCTCTCGTGGGAGATGCTTCACTGGCAATACACCAAAGTCTTGGAATTTGATTCTCAGGTTACTACGCATTATCAATACAATTTTGTAGCTGGAGAGTTTCAGCTATTCCAAGTTCTTCTTCAACGGTTTGTGGAGAACGAACCATTTCAAAACTCCTCTAGACTTGAGACTTACTTAAAGAACCGTCGCCATTTCCATAACTTCCTTCAGATTCCACGTGTTAGAGGTAACAATAAACAATGCATGTTCTTATTATTCTTCAGCTAATTTTCTAACCTTTTTTTTAATCTTATTAAAACCAAACTCTGCAATGTTTTCAGATGATCGTTCTTCGAAGAGTAGTAAGAAATGTAGAAACGAAGGGGAATTCGCTGTAAAGATTGGAACTTTGAGAGAGATTATCCGAGAATCAATGCGTATTTTCTGGGAGTTTCTTTGTGCAGACAAAGATGAGTTTAGTTCAGTGATGAAAGTTTCTCACCAAACACAGGTCTCTCCACAAGATCCTCTAGACCTTGAGCTCTTGACAGATATCAGAATCCATCTCCAAAAGGTAAATTACTTCTTCCCTCATCTTGTCAGATCACGTCAACGTTTTTCTTTCCACTCAAGAACCTGATTTTGGCATATATACATGTAGAAGGAGAAGAGGGTAAAGGAAATATTGAGAAGCCAAAGCTGTATAGTGAAGAAGTTAAAGAATGAGTCAAAGAGTAGTGTTGGTGTAAAGGATGAGTTGCTGATAGCTCAAATCGAAGTGAGATTGGTTTCAAGAGTGATGAACATGTCAAAGCTTACGACTGATAAGTTGGTTTGGTGTAGAGAGAAACTTAACAGGATCAGCTTCAACGGTCGAAGGATTCACATGGAACCATCTTTCTCATTGTTACCTTGTTAGAGTCTCTGCCTAAAGATTAGGTTAGATTATAAGATGTTGTTATAGCTTCAGATCCAGGAAGATGTTTTTTTTTCTTTGTTCCTGAGAAAGAATGTAGAGCTTATGAATGTTCTGTGTTCATCCTAATTTTGTACTAAAATCTTGTCTTACTATTCCCAGTTAATTAATCTAAGATCAGTTAAAACTTGAAACCAATAAGGCTGAAAAGTGAATAGTATTAATAGTTATATTATACTAATAATCACAAAGACATTGGTTTTTTCACTATCAAAGACCTCAATTAGAAAAGAAAATTCAAAATACATAGGAAATCACTTTCTTGAATCTTCAATATTCTAATTGTACAACAGAATCCAACCAGCAAAAATACATGGGAAATAAACGGTCAAGTGTCAAACTGTCAAGTACAATATATTCGGGAAAAAAATATATAATAATATATCCAGGCGGGCCTTAAGCCGAGTCGAATGTGGGCTTGTTATAATAACTAAGAGAAGATGGTCTACTATGTAAGCCCAACAAATGCGATTAACAAATCTCCTCCGTTGATTACGATGTTCCAAAATATTATCTGATCCGTCCGATCTAGGGCAATAGGGTGTTGGAAGTAGGAAGGCCTTTAAATAGATATTCTAGGTCATAAAGCCTCCTCTCTGCTCCGTCAAGCTGAGGAGGATAAAACCCATAGGAGGAGAAAGGAGTGTGTGAGCAAGCGAAGTAGCGAAAATGGTGCAGCGTCTTGTTTACCGTTCGCGTCACAGCTACGCCACCAAATCGAACCAGCACAGGATCGTCAAAACCCCAGGTCTGATTTCTCCGTCTACTTTCTATAATTCCATTTGCTGAATCGAAGCCTGTCTCTCTCGATCTATCGAATTCTTGTAATGTATTTTAAAATTTGATGGTTTGCGTTGCTTGATTGATTCGCAGGTGGTAAATTGACGTACCAGACCACGAAGAAGAGAGCCAGTGGACCGAAATGCCCCGTGACCGGCAAGCGTATTCAGGGTGTAAGTCTTTTGAGACATTCATAAATCTTATCTCTCAAGTGTGATTTTGAGTCTTAGGAGTTTTGTATTCGATTGCTGTGTTTTGATCTTTGATGTGCCCAAGTTACAAGATGAAAATCAGATTGGTTCTTTGAGGTTATTGTGTAATGCTCGATTCAAATGTAGTAGTTATGGATTATATGCTAAAGTTTGTATCTTGGTGCTTATTGACGGTCTTGTGCTGGTTAGATGAATCCACATCAGTGCATAACTTTATCATAAGCTAGATTTAGTGCCACCTTGTCTTTTCAAGTTTTCTCCTTTTTGTTTGTAAGGAAATCACTGTTATACTTGGTGGCATAAATTTATAATCATCTTGATCATTATTGTTCATAGTATCTTCGTTTTGCATTCGAATTGTATATTGATATGTTAATGTTTAGTCATTTCTCTCCGTGTTTGGTTGTAATTTGTTCTGATTCTAAACTCATGTTTCTTTGTTTCTTTAGATCCCACACTTGAGGCCTTCTGAGTACAAGAGATCCCGATTATCCAGAAACAGGAGGACCGTGAACCGTGCTTATGGTGGAGTTTTGTCCGCCTCTGCTGTTAGAGAAAGGTTAGTTCTTTGAGCTCGTTTTGTTACAAGTATAGATCTTTCACTATATACAAATTTTATGTTTCTAACGACGGTTTTTGCTCTTGATGGCTTGTGTTGCAGAATCATCCGTGCTTTCCTTGTGGAGGAGCAAAAGATTGTGAAGAAGGTTTTGAAGCTGCAAAAGGCCAAGGAAAAGGTTGCTCCCAAGAGCTAGATTCCTAATAGTTTTTCTTAAAAATGTTTTTGTGGCGCTCTGTTCTCTAGCGAATAGTTTACTGGTTGCAAAGTTTGGGAGAAACATTGTGTACTCGTTCCAAAATTCTTAAGCTTTTTGTATTCGTTTTTCCTTCTTGACTCTGCCGACATTTCGCTTGCCCTTCGGTTTTGCTTTCTCGTTTAATTTCTGAGTAAATCGATACTCATTTTATTGACAATGCAAATCTGTTTGGAGCTTAATCAACGACAATTGAGTTGTATAATTGACCTGATTCTATCTTCAAAGAGTTATATAATTGAGGAAAATGTTTAGCTGCAATTAAGAAAAACTTGTTACTTTTTGTCTTAAGAAAAAGTGAAAACTTTCTTAAAAAGTAAGAACTTTTCACACTCTGTTCTACTAAAGTTGACCATAAAGTAGAGAGGGAATTAGGGTCAATACAGAAGCGCGATAGCGATGGTGAAAGAGACGAACGGGGAGCAAGTCTTGGCCGGAGAAGCGTCGAGCAGCCGTCGAAAGAGGCAACGACTTGTTGAAGAAGAAAGTGAGGATGATGGAGAAGGAACGGAGAGTGGAGATCGGGATATAGCCGGTGATGGGGTGATAACAGAGGCACGAAAGGGACTGCTCGATCTGGATATTCTCGACTGTCCCGTTTGCTTTCACGCCCTGACGATTCCTATCTTTCAGGTCTTTGTTTCTTACCTCTTTCTACTTTCGAGAACTGCTCCTCTTTCGTGGTTAATAATCGCATGGTTGGTTTATGCTTATACATGATTTTGGGGAAAAATGTTGCAGCATTTGGAAGATGTTAGTTAAGAACCTAATCGTTTATGTGTGAGAGGAGCATTAGCTTTTGCTGATCAACGAAATATACAAGAGAGACTTTTTAGGATAAAAATGTGTTCATGCGTATATCATGATTCGTAAAGAACACCTTTTTTTTTTTTTTTTTGTTCCCTTTTGATTGAATAGCAAATGAGTCCTGTGAATATAATGGATGATTCTCTTCTTCAAGAAAACAACCACTCTAGATTAGTATAAGCTTATATTTGGTTTTCCGTTTCGTTGATATTTGTAATCTGATTCCTCAAATCTCTGAATACTCAGTTCAGTTACGACTTATAAGTAACCTATCTTTTGTGGGATTTTTGCATCTCAGTGTGACAATGGACATATAGCTTGCTCTTCTTGCTGTACTAAACTGAGGAACCAATGCCCTTCCTGCACTCTGCCCATTGGTAACATTCGAAACCGAGGAATGGAGAGAGTTCTAGAAGCAGTCACACTCCCATGTCCAAACGGTAAACATGGCTGCACCAAGAAGTTCTCTTATGGCAAAGAATTAGCCCATGAGAAGGAATGCAGTTTCGCTCTATGCTACTGCCCTGCACCACAGTGCAGCTACACAGGCAAGTACAAGGATCTCTACCGTCACTACGATGCTAACCACGGTAAGGAACATTTCAGGTGTGGCCATACCAGTGACGCATGGGTTCACTCCAATGAAATGATAACAGTCCTTCAAGAATACAGAGATGGTCCATTGGTTGTGGTTCAGTGTTTCGAGAAGATACAAGGATTCGAGGAGTCACAAGGAGTGTATGTGACTGTGAACTGTATAGCACCACCATCTGCTCCAGGAGTTGGGGAGTTCTCTTATAAGCTCACCTCGTCCAATCATGGTGATGGAAAGTCGGATGAGATGAGGAAGATGAAGAGGATTCAGAAAGTGAGCTTCCAACCTCCTGAGAAGGACTTTATGCTTATTCCTCGCTATTTCTTGCTTCAACATCCCTATGCCTTGAAGATGAACATTTGCATCCGCCGGCTAGAAGAAGAAGAAGAAGTAGAGAAAAAGGATAATGAAGCTGAAGAAGAACATGATGAGAATGAAACTTGTGACAAAGTTCGCAGGTCAACTCGCGAGAGGAAGGCTAATTCCAAGTATCAAGACAAAGTCAAGTAACCAAAATTCTTTTCTCCTTTTCACCATCTGTAATTTCCAGTAATGTTGTTGTTAGTTGTTTGGTGTTTCCAACTTTGTAGGAACTCATGTTCCATCGCTTCTATGTAAGAAATGAAAAAACAAAAAGAAAAATAGTTCCCTCTAAACTAACATTAAGAAAGTTCTTGGGTACTTAGTTTCTGAGTTGCCTGATTAACAAGTCGTTAATACACATATTAAGCCAACTAGTTGATCATTCGTCTCCCTAATCCCGAATGACTGATTCTATCGAAACATTCCTTAATGTCGAAATACATATAACTTCTAATTACTTAGCAATTGTATAGCTTAGTTGTATATTTTTTTTTTTGGCAGTTGATACAGAAAAAGGAGGAAAAAAGTAAACACACTAATTTTAACGAACAATCTCAAAAAGCAAGAGACCCTAAACAAAAGACATCTGTGCTGATACAACTAACTATTGAGAAAAATCTATGAACTTATCAAGTAGTGGATAACGAAATAGGCAAATCTTCATCAATCGAGGAATAGTAACTCTCCATTAACATGTGATGCTTCTGATTTTGATGTTGATCTCCAATAATAGTTGAAGTTGAAGTCAAGTCACCATACCGAAATGTGTGAAAGAGAGCACGATGATGATCTTGATTCGCACCACTCTTGTTCCCTTCAAAACTGGTCTCATGGTACTCTTGCGGCAGACTCACAAGAGCAGGACACTTCTCTTGCGCCAATATTGCGTCGATGTCGATGTTTGAGTCTACATGATTTGCGTATTCTCCGAGGATAGATGACTCTGATGATGATGACATGTTTAGCAGAAACGACGAGATCATGTCGTTGTTGATGAACTTTGGAAACTGAGGTGGTTGTGTTTCTTGCGAGGCAATCAAGAGGCTTTTCAGGTACTGTTGGTCCAGACACGGACCTGGATTGTTTGAGGAATCAGTGAAATGAGTATTGGTAGTAGTTTCTTTATCATCAAAATATGAATGCGGTTGGGCAATATTCATATCTTCATAGTAATATTTGAAGCAAGAACTGTTTTTGAGGATCTTCTCTGAAGAAATTTGGGCTGTGTTTATTGGTTTTTTGTAGGGTGCTGTGTTGGTTCTTGCCTCTTGTGGTAATGAGGAAACAAAGGAGTGAGAGATGGCTCTAAGGGTCGTTGTGTTTGTCTTCTTTAATATTCTGCAAATAGCCCATGAATCCTGCAATTCCACATACATAATTCATAACATTATTAAGCCAACTAAATATATAAATAGTTCACAAAAAGGCGAGAGAAGCACTCTAGTTCATTGAGTTAATTTTAAAATTACTCTGTTTCAAAATATGAGATGCTTTGAGCAACAACATAAAGATAATCCATTTATTGTTTTTTTTTTTTGAACAACCAGTTAATTTAAAACAACTTAACTAATCATGAAACTACAAAATTAGTCATAATATATTAAATATTTAAAATACTAAAATGTGAAAACATCTTATCTATTGAAACAAAAAAAAAAAACTCTAAAAACATTCAATAATATGAAACAAGTGGAGAGTATTATCTTTAAGTACATTATGGATAGTCTTTTATCGGTCAAATCATTACGAACGGTCTTGCATTCAAATCTTCTATCTATACGATCTTAAGCTATAACCAAAATAAATGCTAATCTTAGCTTAACCGCTAATAACGTGACGTGGAAGAGCATTAATAAAGATATTGCTTACATTGGGAGAGACTTGAGTATCAAAGAGAGTATGTGAAGAAGCAGAAGGCAAGCGAAACTCATGCATCATCCAATCTGTCTTAATCCCTTTAGCAGCTCTTCCTTTATAAAACACAAGTGACTTCCTCAGACCAACGCATTTGCTTCCGTCGGACGAGTATATCGGCTTGTCGGTTCCCGTGGCTTTCCAGAATCCAGCACCAGTTACTCGGTTTGGCCTCGTGCTGTTCCTATACTTTCTATCTCTTGGGCAGTAGAAATACCATTCTTTCTCACCCGCCATCGCAAACTCTACACTCATCAAACGCATTTCATTAAATAATTAGTTTAATTAAAACATCTATAAACCATCTAATTATCCATTTGTCAAGAATATCCAAATTTTCAGTCCAAGTTATTAAAAAAAGAAGGTGAGGGATATATAGTGGGAGTAAAAAAAGATTGTACTTGGAAGATCCCATGGGTCATATTTGTAGATATCGAGCTGTGTAATGAGCTTGATGGAGAGTGGTCGATGTTCAACCTTCCGCTTCAGATAGAAACTCACGAGCTCTTCGTCCGTTGGATGAAACCTAAATCCAGGCAACAACACATCTTCCATTTTCTTAGCTTCTTCGTTATTCTCTACCATATACTACAAAGTATTAGTGAAAGTTTAGACAAATTGTGGAAAACCTCTTGTATAGCTAAAATAAACCTAGCCTAAAGAGATATTAAGGTGACTAATGAGAAAGTTTTTAGCCCTAAATGGAAAAAAGGAGAGGGAGAGAGAGTTTATAAGAGTGAAGTTTCTTTGCTTAGTTTGAACACAATATATGCTGCCCTGTGAGGGGTCTGGCTCCGAAGTATCAGCCGCCTTTTCTGCTGATTATCATTATAAGAAAATCAAATTATATTTAGAGAGAGAGAGACTTTTGTTTGAAAGCAAAAGTGTAAGTCCATGCATTTAGTATCATGAGTTTCATGGGATATTAATTCTTCATATAATACAAAATTTACATTTTGTTTGAACTGATTTAAGTCTTTGTTTATAAATGTAAGAGGATATGATATGGTTAAAGATGAGTTCTAACCAAAAATGTTTTCCATATAAACATATTTATATATGCTTACATAAGACTAAATATTATTTTTCTCCTAGTGAACTAGCTATAGACTATCTACTCTACTATGGTATGACGTAATTGTAGTTTCTACTTGTAGTCGAATAAATGCAATGGCGTCTACATGAAATTCATCGTGTATATGTTTGTCAGGCCGTCTCAAACTATTTGAAGTTTTTGTGCAATTTTTTAATTAAAATGTGTTAAAATTTACCTTAAGAGAAATCTATGTTTGATTATATAAATATATTAAAAAAAATTGAATCAATGATCTCTTCGAATACTACAGTTACACATCTTAAAGACGATCATGTTTGAAACATATATGGATGTGTATGAATCTACGCATTTTCTATAATCTATATATTGTATCTAGCTTGTTCTGTATATAATTTCTATCGATACATGTTAACGACACGGACCAGAACTGCAATTAAGATATGCGTAATGTCCCTCTTGTTTGAAGTGTGTAACGCGAACCAAAAGATTCGCAATTAAAATTATAATAGCATTAGTCAAATGAATTGAGGTTTCTAATGTATGATGAAAATGTATTAAGTATAAATGAAAGAACTGTCTCTCAAAATCCAAAGTTTCTGAACGTTTGTATTATATTCCTCTTTAACTTCTATTCCCACTGATTTCTGTCAGGACATGGCAAAATCGATTGAGTTAGTTTAAAGACAAAGTCAACGTATGTGATTGACAATGGAATGTTCATAATTTTTACCCTTTTTGTGATCTGATCAGGTATCTGAACCGGATCTTTCCTAGTGATGGACATTTTCAAAATCTCAACTGAATTTATGGACGTTTAAATGTGCATATATATTACCTCGGATACGTTCAGTTGCTTCGACACTAACCAAATCTCTAAAACTCAATCGTAAATAATTTCTTATTAAAGACAGGCTTCATGAACAGATTGAATTCGAGACTTGGTGCAAATAACATTATAATCAATGCAATAAATTCGACCCAAAAAAAAAAATCAATGCAATTAATTACATATGAAAAATAAGAAAAATCACTTATGGCATATACTGATATACATAGTAGTATTACAATCTAATAGAACAAATTGACGAAAAAAGGGCACGTGAAACATTTGCAGGGCAAAAGTCAAATCTGCTCTACTTTTTTATTTTTTCTCATATCTTGTGGGTTTTGGCAAAATATCGAATACCAAAGTATAGAATTTATCAATAGTTTCTTGCTTTTAGTAAATTGTGGTTGAGGTTTAAAAATTTACAGTAACCATGTGTTTTCTTTACTATTTATTCACTACAAGTACCATTACCACTAATTTATTTACAACACCGTCAAATAGTAATTACTGTAATACATACTAGCTAAAAAGTGAAACGATCCAGACAAATAGAAGAGAATTAGTTGAAACTGATGTTTACCTAGTAAATTGGTGTCTACTTTTATATTTAGTTATCAAATGACGTCCATAAAATTCTACGAAGAGTTAGAATGGTGAAAGTAGATCATGCACTGTGGATCCAGCAAACAGTCTCATATAACTAATTTTCATCATTTTTATACTAATGATTTAATTTGTTACCGGCATTAAACCAGATTACATTATAAGCTAAATTCTAGGAATACATCAAAATCAATGAGATCACAAAAAGCTAAGTTTCCTCGGTTAATACCCATTTTGTGTCTTCAAGTTTTTGTGTTGACTCAAATTGCTTTTTTACTTCCTAAACGTGTGTACTTGATTTTAGAGCCTCATTAATCCCTTTCTAATTATCTTTAGTCAATTGTTTTTAGGGAGTATTACATAAGTATCTTTAAAAAAAAAGTATTTAACTATGAAAATTTTGGAGTCAAACTTAAAAGTCTTCAAGCCCAAGCACCCATACCTCTGTCTTCGCAAAAATAATGTACGAGTATTAATAATGTCTGTAAGCATCCTTGGCTTGGTCTTTAGAAAACATATTCATAATACATCAAAGTCTAGTCCCTCTCCACTATCATATTTTAATAATTTATTAGTAGAGTAACAGAGTTTCATATGTTGGTACATTAGCTAATGATCAGCTTAAAGATGTGGTAAGAGTTGGTTAATCAGTAGATTTAATCGGTCTGTTTCTGATTGAAGCTGGTAACCATGGCTAAGAGCTCGATTGTTGTACATGGTTAGAGAAAATGGTAAGTGGTTAAGACATAATTCAAAATTGTCAAATTAAGAAGAAGTGATGGTAAGAGTAAGCGGTAAAAAAAACTGAGTATAACCCTTTAGATGACGTTTTTGACAAACTAGTCCAATCAAAAAGTTGGGACTCTTTTACTAGAGATTTTACCCCTTAGAACCAGCCTTGGTTTTTGATATCCTTTTTGTGATTGGTAACACTTCACTATGTCCCGGTAATTTATGATTCATCAGTAAACATCAGATGTTTTGAATGACTTCTTAAACTTAATTATTAAAAATATGATGCAGTGTCCTGTAAATTAAACTCTTAACTTTCAAGAATGAACTCGTAGATTAATAAATAAATAAAAGTATGTTGTACAATACTACATGCAAGACAAAAAATCCAAAGTAGAACAACAACTCAATACTGTTTTATATACAAATCTCAAACTCCAGCTAAATCCCTCGTGAGAAACAAAAAAGGCACAATGCAAACCAGTTCTGTTTCTGATTTCAAACTACATCTCCACCACACAAAGTATCCATTATCCATCCTCAGGCAGGTAAAGAACACACTACCAAAAATCCCAAAATCCAACAAAATCAATCGTCTTTAAATTCTTTAGTCGGGCGTGCTTCCAATCCACCACCTTCTCTTTTCTCAAGCGAATAAGGCATGTAAGTTCCAAGAATCCGATCCCACATAACAAAGAAAGGCTGAGAGAAATTGTATTTGCTTCCATATAGCTGATGATGCACATCGTGGTAAGCCGAGTTGTTCTTGAAGACCATATGGAACAGATTTCCGGGAAGCCAGAGACCGCAATGGTCGTCCACGGTTTTGATTGTGGCGAAGGAGAAGAAAAAGATTGAAGTTCTTGGCGACATACCAGAGATTAGGAAAGATAAGGCCCCTCCAACTGTATCCAAGATAAGCCCTTCCACTGGATGGTTGTATAAAGCTCCATATGCATAAGGGACTATAAGACGGTGGTGTTGAGAGTGGATATGTTTGTATAAGAACTTGTTGTAATGCATATATCGATGCATGAAGTATTGCCATGTGTCGAGGATAATCATGGCCGTCACAAACTGTCTTGCTAGGACCAAAAGGGAGAACTCTCGCGCTTTGTCTGCCTCAGCATCGCTTCCTGTCACCTGTATATTCCAAGGTATTAATGAATCAATCTATCAGAGGCGTGTCAACTAAGCAAAGTAAATTTAGCAAAAGACATGTCTATCAAGCCATGCGCCACGTATTATAACAGCATTCCTACTATCAGCACCTAATAGCTCGTTGGAATTTGCTATTCGAAAAAGAAAATATCTTTAAACAGAAATATCAGAACTAGCAATGTGTGTTTACAAATTTCTAATCCTGTAAGCTAGTAAGAAGCAGACCGATATCTTCCACTGCTCTTCTCTGAATCATAATACAATGGAAGAACAGAGGAAAAAACCCTGTTTATAATCATGCTTTACTCCAAAGCTTTAACTATCTTCCTAACACTGATATATGAACAGACTGATTCAAGTGTCATGAAGATTGAGAATCATTCAACTATTGGGAACTGAAGAGCCAATCTATGATCTAAACTTTCAGATCATGAAAACCATTTCTTCTACCTTCTTAACTTTATATTTGGTCAAAGAATGATGCATATATGACAAATTTTGCAGCCACTATCAAATCATTAACGCAGATATCTCTTTTTGGGTGGAAAGTGGAAACTAGAGCAACACAAAAGGTTCGAAACTTTTGCTAAACAAATCTTAATCATCTATACAACCATAAACGTCAGCATCAGATAGCAAAATTCCCCAACATATTCTAATTCCGTTTGTTTTCCACTTTTCACTAAACTTTAAAAAACTGATTGAAAATGGAAAATTTACCGTGAACAAGACGATTGCAACAACAGCTTGAACGAGCTGTTGAAGAAGAACCCCTTTAACAACGGAAGATTTCGAGACGAGATTCTTCTCTTCTTCCTCGACCTTAGAATGCAATCTATAACTTTCGAGAGACGAGAGCGCCACGTAAATCCCAGAATACAGCCAATAAACCAGAATCGGAGCAACAGTACCCAGCAATTCGTCGGAGACAGCAAAACCCATCACCCCTAATTTCCTTAATCACAGCTTCAGATCCTTCATCAACCGAAACGCAAATTTCTGGGTTTTCCAAAGTGACCAAAAAGGGGAAATGACGCGGAGGAAATAGCACAAATTGGGAAGGTTCCCAGAATCAAACCGTGAAAAATTTTCCAAAAAGGTTTGATTTTTGCTTCAAATCGATGATTGGGCTCGTTTTAGGGTTTGCGTTTTGAGTTGACAAATCAACGAAGGAAACAAAAATGATGGAGAGAGAAAACGACACTCGCGTTTCTGGACGAGAGAGACGTGGCTGAACTGTACTCATTAAAATAAATTAAATATCTTTTAAGTTTATCTGCTGTGTTAGATCTACAGTGAATCTGCTTACGTGGCGTATTCTGGTGAGATTGTAACGTATGATGCGATTCCTAACGTTGGATTCTAAAACAAATATCTCGTTGGAGTGTTCCCTACCGTATGGTCGAAGTTGAATTGAAAATTTAATGACAAATGTTAGAATATTCAAAACTTTATTAGCTTCATCACTAGTAAACAAATTTCCAACTTTCGAACTTGTTGTAACATTAGAGGTCAAAAAAAAAAAAAAGAACTTGTTGTAACATTACTTAATGTCTTTGACAATGTGTTTGATATTTTGGTTTCCTTTAGTAGTTGTATCATCTTATTCTTAACCATTTACAAAAAAAAAAAACACATAAGACGGTCCATGAAAGGTGAAACCATGTGGTTATGTGTAAACATATAATGATTTGGAGAAAACATATGATTTCTTCAAGATCAGCATCCAAACCAAGCACTTCTAATTGAGATAATACTTTGTGCTTCCACATTAAATCTTATCTTCGAGTGGGTTCCTTAGTCGTGTACTCGTGTGGCTTCAGATGAGCAGCTTCGGTTTTGGCCTCTTGGGTGAATCAGACTCTCAACTTCGCTTGTAGCTTTCTTGATTTCTTACTAGCTGTCTTATACAATGATCTTGAGAATCGATAACCCTTTTTGTATCATACACATCATTATGTAACCATGGTGCTCCTCTTACTTCGTTGTTGGGGAAATTGGAAATTCAGTGACAGTGTGACACCATTACATACCCGAGTAGATTGTGAAGCCCATGACTGGCCCATCTTCTAATAGGGTTTCTGTGATCTCAAATTGTTATATATGTAGCCTCAGACGCTAGAATTATAAGAAATAAAAATGGGTTTCTGAAGGTCGCTTGTTGCAACTCAAAACAGTGACGATGATGACGTATTACAAATTGTAGATATTTACTGGCTCAAGTCTAAGCGACCATCCATAGGGAATCACTGAATCAGGTTTTTCTCTGATTTTAAAAACGAATTTATGGAACCTAGAGAAAAAAAGAAAGGTCTAAGATATAGTCATAGTACGTAGAAGAATGACCTGAATGGTAGATAATTGACATTCTAAGTGTGTAACATAAAGCTTAAATAACGGGAGAGTATTTGGTCGCAGAGACAACTTGGAATTCGATCTCCACATTCAACGTGTCTTCCTTGTCCAAGTAAAGCTTCCGAAGTTCAGTTAAAGACAAAAACTGATCCCAACCCCAAGCCAAGTGTGATTCCTCGTACCAAAGGCTTACTGCAAGCAAATAAAATGCGAAACATTGTTACTAAAGAAAGACAAAACGCCAAATGAATGTCTATGTGTTGAACTTATCACAAGAAAACAGAGTTTTGTAATCTTTCATAGTGTTTTAGAGTTTGATTTGCAATAGAGAGAAAACTAAAACTCATTCATATTCATTTCTCATGAAAAACGACACAACTGCAAGACTTATAGAAAGTAGAACAACTTCTCTCTCTATTTCACCTACTACGACCAACTCCCACTATCCTCTCTTAGAGCTCTAGATAATAGCTAGTTCTTACAACAACAGCTTCACTGTTTTAACAACTCTTCTACAACTCTTCTACACATAGAAACTAACTAGACATTGATTAGATTCCCTTAGTTCGGTTTGAGACCAAAATGTCATTACTCAACACTATGTACATATCTAGAAGACTATATCAACTGTTGTTTAGTTAAAATAAAATATAAAATAAAGCTGTGTTTTAGAGATTAGTACATTTGTGTGCCAAGTGATTTGATCCATGTGGGTCTACAACTCGCAAATGTGCTTGCGTGAAAATCTTCTCATCTGCTTTCGGTTTATCAGTATCAGCCAAATGTAGAAAAATTGATAAATATTTTCCATGTGCTCTTTGGGTGCCCTTTGGATACAGCTTTAGAAACCTACAGAACATTAATTATAATGAACTTGTTAACATTCATACGCACACAAACATTTTTGTTTGTGTATATGTATACTCACCATTTAATATTTGATAGTACAAAGACAGAGTATTGATGTATATGTATACTCACCATTTCTTTCCTCCCATTGAAAAACTGTTTGATGTTTGAACATCCTCTTTCAACCAAGAAAAATTCTCTACAGTCCATGAAAACTTGGGATCCGGGACCTTCTCATTAAAAGAGAGGATTTCCCAATTTGAAAGGGGTGGAGAAACGATGACACCAACACCAAACTCACATTGGTCTCCCTCGAAGATGTAACCATATTCAGGGTTACTGAATGTATCATACGGAAGAACTTGCGGCAATCCCCACACCGTTTTAAGTGCATTGAACCGCTTTACTTCCACATCTGATGAATATATAAAATATATTGTTAAGTGACATATGTTAATATATTTTTACATGGAAAGAGAAAGAGAGAACATGATCAGTGTACTTGACCTTGAATAGTGAAGTACTTGTTTTTTTTCTTATTGTAGACAAAAAAACGTAGTTCCGCAAACACTTCAGTTGGTGGTGTGAATATCATCAAGTTTTTGCTATCTATTTCCACGTACATGGAAATAAATCCACTCCCATTATCCTTTTCGTTCCCTTTTGGGTATACGATCAATCTCCTATTTTTTTTTTTTTTAATAAAAAACATAATATTGCATTAGCTGGATATATATTGATAAAGATAATTCTGAAGATGATGAATGAAGAATGCATTAGGTTACTATATATGGCGCTTAATGCTAAATCATGAATACAGGATCTGTACGTACCAATTATATCCACCAGAGGAGAAAAGACGAGATTGGTATTTATGATCAGAAGAAGAAGTCGAATTCTCAAGTTGTGAGAAGTTGTGAATCTTGAGGAAATAAGAAGACGGAGGATGCTCTCTCCAGCTCTGAACAATTGTAGAAACTGCTGCCGAGCATGAACCCATGTTTCCCAGTGATTTAGAATTCAAAGGAACTCAAGACGAGGGTTCTGAGAATTCTCTCTTTATTAACTTCAAAAACTATGGTTAAAAGAACAACACCAAGCCTTTATATAGGCCACTACCTACGGAAGTTCCCTTCACAAATTAAGAAAACTTCTATATCTAGAAAAAGGAAATTAAATAAAAGAAGAAAAGCAACTAAAGCCAATTATGTTTGTTGCAAAGAAGTTATGTTAATGCTACATCATATATTAACTAATGTTTTTATTGTAAACCCTAGTTGACTTATTGGTCTATCCTAGTCATTTGTAGATATGATGGGCTTGGACTTGGTTTAGTTCATACATATTTGGGCTAAAGGGAAGAAAGTTGAAGTGGCAGATAGAAATTGTTGTAATTTCCAACCATTTTTCTACCATTTTACAAATTTTGACGACCGATTTTACAAAGGCTGCTTCCTACAATTTTCCAACGATATTTTCTTTGTGCATCCATGATCCTACACCAAGATTTAACCAAAGTTAAATCTATCTTAGTTTTCATCATGCTTAAACATTCGATAAATTGAAAAATCAAGATTATTAAGTAGAATCGAAGCAAGTGGAGTTGTGAAGAGATTGTTTTGGGGATCCAAAAAGGCCTTGATTCAGTCATAGAAGAAGAATGAACAGTCGCTAAAAAGAGTATACACAAGCTAAACAGAGAGGATAACCCCAATTATTTACACTTATCATGCTCTGTTCCAGCCCTAGAGAGAGAGCATGATAAGTGTAAATAATTGACCTTGAATAGTAAAGTAGTTGTTTTCTTTCTTGTTGTAGACAAAGAAACGGAGTTCCGCGAAAACATCAGTTAGTGGTGTTGATACTATGAAGCTTTTCTCTTCTATTTCCACGTACATGGAGATGAATCCATCCCCATTGTCCCTTTTGTTCCCTTTTGGGTATATGATTAACTTCCTGTTTTGTCAACAAAACATATAATATTGCATTAGCAGATAAAGATGATCATACATTTATTATTAGAATTGACTTTAGTTATAAATAAGCGACCGATCGATGTATTGATAGTTATTGGCACTTTAAGGCTGAATCATGAATACAAGATCTGTACCAGTTATATCCACCAGAGGAGAAAAGACGAGATTGGTATTTATCATCATCACAGGAGGAAGAAGTCGAATTCTCAAGCTGTGAGAAGTTGTGAACCTTGAGGGAGTACGAAGATGGAGGATGCTCTCTCCAGTTCTCCACGAGTTTAGAAACTGCTGCTGAGCTCATTCTAACTCAACATGCAAGTCTAGATATGGTAAACCCTAGTTGACTTCTTGGTTTCCCTTTTTTTCGTTCTCATCTTATAGCTTCCCACAAAACGCTGTGTTTGCAACTAACTCCCTTAGGGCTTTCGACTCGCTTGGACCTTACTTTTTTGTTTCACTCGCCCCATAGCAATTAGAAGAAACACACAATTGAACAAGTACTCAACGGACATTGGAGATTTGGAGTCTTCAATTTAGAGACGACCACAATTAGTGATAGATTGGGAGATTTTATATACTCGTGGAGTGGCTGTAGATTTTTACAAAGTAAAGTTTTCTTACATATGCAACTTTTACCCGCGGCTGTAGATTTTTACCGGCTCAAGTCTAATCTCTTGTTACATATTCCCATCCAATTTTGTCTTCATAATATTAAATTAATATTTACGTATATGGAAAACGATAATTTTTGGCTGCACAAAATAAGGCGAAAGGCGGAAAGCGACATAAAATCCGTTTGCAAAACAAAAAAAAAACACCCTAGGGAAATCAGTTTTTTTTTCTCTGCTTTTGAAAATAAATTTATGGAAACTAGTAGAAGAATGACTAAAGACAGGAACAAATTGAGGAATAAGAAGAATGATAAGGAATTAGAGGAATGATAAGGGAAAAAAATAAAAAGAATCATATGGAAAAAAATAAAAGAAATCAATACAGAGAATGAATGGAACAAATTGTCACAGTAAATAGTAACCAAAAACAAGAATGAATATTTTAAAATAATAAAATCTTGACTCTCATCAACTCAAAATATTTGTTCTCAATTCTTTTTCTAGCAGTAACATCTGGCATTCTATTACGATAATTATCTGCTTTTAACTCTTCAATGACAAAATTCAAACATTAAACACACATATGCTCTTTGCTATAAGCTTATTTTTAAGATTATGTATCCTTTCTTCTTTCTTTGTCGATGTATTAGGTTAGAGAAAGAAAAAAATCTCTCTCACATATATAGAAGTAGAAGAAGACGAGGTGTGGAAAATTTAAGTCAAATGTCAATTTTCTGTAAATTTACTTTAAAATATTTACAAAACAATATATTTTTACCAAATTTTATTATTTTCTTTCTATTCCCTATCAAATTTGATGAGAAATATATTTGTTCTATAATTTTTCATATAAAAAGGAATGGAAAGGAATTATGTGTAACAAATAGTCCATCTAACTGGTAAAAAAAATTAGGAACGAAGAGGAATACCATATTTTCAATCATTTCTTTCCTCAATTATGGTCACCAGTTGGACCCTTAAATGGTAAAAAATTGATATTCTAAGAGTAAAAAATAGAGCTTAGATAACATGAGAGTGTTTGGTCGCAGAGACAACTTCGAATTCGATCTCAACATTCAATATGTCTTCCTTATCCAAGTAAAGCTTCAGAAGTTCAGTTAAGATAAAAACTGACTATAACCTCAACCCACGTTTGATTCATTGTACCATTGGTGCACTGCAAGAAATTAAAATGTGAAACAAGGTTATTAGAGAAAGACGAAACGCCAAATGAAAAATACTGTTTCTGAGTTATTAGATAATATTACATTTGCGTGCAAAGTGATTCGATCCATGTGGGTCTACAACTCGCACATGTGCTTGCGTGAAAATCTTCTCATCTGCTTTCGGTTTATCACTATCAGCTAAAGACAGAAAAACTGATAACCATTTGCCATTTACCCTAGAGTCACCCTTCGGATACAGATATAGAACCCTACAGAACATTAATTAATATAAACTTGTTAACATTCATACGCACACAAACACATCTGTGACAGAGTATTGCTGTATATACTCACCATTTCTTTCTTCCCATTGAAAAACTGTTTGATGTGTGTTTGTCCTCTTTCAACTCAGAAAAATTCTTAACAGCCCAAGAGAACTGATTGGGATGAGGGAGCTTCTCATTAAAAGATAGGACTTCCCAATTGGTAAGTGGTGGAGAAACGATGACATCAACACCAAACTCACATTGGTCTCTCTCGAAGATGTAACCATCTTCAGGGTTACTAAATGTATCATACGGAAGAACTTGCGCCAACCCCCTTACCGTTTTAAGTGCATTAAAACGCTTTACTTCAAAGAAACGGAGTTCCGCAAACACATCAATTGGTGGTGTGAATATCATCAAGTTTTTGCTATCTATTTCCACGTACATGGAAATAAATCCACTCCCATTATCCTTTTCGTTCCCTTTTGGGTATACGATCAATCTCCTGTTTTTTTTTTTTTTAATAAAAAACATAATATTGCATTAGCTGGATATATATTGATAAAGATAATTCTGAAGATGATGAATGAAGAATGCATTAGGTTACTATATATGGCGCTTAATGCTAAATCATGAATACAGGATCTGTACGTACCAATTATATCCACCAGAGGAGAAAAGACGAGATTGGTATTTATGATCAGAAGAAGAAGTCGAATTCTCAAGTTGTGAGAAGTTGTGAATCTTGAGGGAATAAGAAGACGGAGGATGCTCTCTCCAGCTCTGAACAATTGTAGAAACTGCTGAACTTGAACCCATTCTAATATTCTACCCAAACGACGTGCAAGTAACAAGTCTAAACACTTTAACTAAAAAAGTATGTAATATTCATATATAAAAAGGAATCTAGGGGTGTTGAAGATAAAAAGATTAGTGTTCCGTTAAAACGATGTTATTAAGACATAGGGTTAAGGGTTGTCTTGGAAATAACATGTGAGGGAAGACGTAGCGTCTCATTATGAATTTTATTAGTCTTTAAGAAAAGTGAAAAAGAAAAAGGATTTTAATTTGAACAAAAAAAAAGGATTTTAATTTGACAAAAAAAAAAGGATTTTAATAGAATACGAAGAGCCATGACTCGTGAATCCAAGCGTTGGCACTACTAGCGTATAGGTTACTAATTACGTCTCCGTTGTTCATTTTGACATTGATTAGTGTGTTAGAACTTTGAAAATTTGAATGACGAATAAATTCACCTTTATTAGCTTCCCAATGAATTAAATTTCCAATTTTTAAACTTAGATTATCAATATCCGCATTTCGTATTCGAGAGAAGACAATCTCATCGTTTGATTTTTAACAATTCTAGATTCTTCTTTTTATCTCCAGTACAATTTAACCAATACAACAACACAAAAATGGCTTGTCCGGAGAATTTAGAAATTAAGAGATGTGTTTTTCTATTTATGTATGTATTACACACCAATGTTTTGGAGAAAATATATGATCATATCAATATATCCGTCCTTTTCTCCATTTCAAAGAGGAATTAGCCATTACGGTAAAGAACCAAATTTCATCACTACACAACTAAGAAACCTAAGCTGCTTAAACTGAAAAAACTGGATGATTGTACAAAGGTTAATTCTAACTCCTAACTTCTAAACCCCTAAACTCTCAGGAAGCTGAAAATGCCTGACGACGCTCTGATCCCATGCCATGTTAATGTTTACGCTCGTCTACCAGAAAAATCGTGTCCAGGATTGTTCACCGGTTGAATCTGATTCACTACCATATTCGTCATCATAACTTTCAGTGGGAAGCAACTTGATTCTATCAGCACGCTCAATCAACCAATCACTGAAACCTGGAGAAGCTGCGAGTCCTGCCATTGCTTCCCTCGTCGTTTCTTGTCTCAACTCTTCATACTCTTCCTTGGACAACTTCTTCCGGTTCGGCGTCCTGTGGTATGTAGAATAGTAATCCTGCCTTTCAATTGGTATTCTCCGGCCAACTGAAGACGGTGACATCACATGTTTAACACCTGTGGTTAAAGAAAGAAAAACCAAGTAAATAAGCTGTAACAAACAGAGACTCTTCACATTAAAGATCAACAATGTAAAAGCATATTAAATCATACCGTTAGAAGGAGAGCCGGAAGATGAAGGTAAACTCCTAGCACTGTTCCACAGTCCACCTCCAGGGCGGCTAAGAAACTCAGCTCGTCCATGCATTGCACGTCCCTTACCAGCAGAGACCAGCCAATGACTTTGAACCACAACGCTTTTTTTCCTGCGTAAATGCAACATTCGTTCTGTAAAAAGCTCAATCACAAACCATGCAATTAGCTGAGTTCAGTCTCAAAGACCGATCAAGCTTTCCAACACTAGGAAAAATTGATCCAAAAAGACAAGCCGGACAAACTTACTTATGCCACCTGTGAATTATTTTGCTGACAAGAAAACCGAGCAAGCTAGCTGAAACGAAAGCTCCCATCGCCAAAGGTGCATCCAGGGTGCTCTGAAGTTAAAGAGACGGTAACGCATTAGAATATTACTATAACACTTCAAATCTACCAGAACATACGCATAAAGCCATGCATTTTTACCTGGAAAATAAATGTGGCGGCAACAGAACGCATAGCCCATTTCACGAATTGGGCAACGCTTGCATCCACACCTCCATCTTCCGAAACAACAAACTTCCTCACAGTCCAGAATCCGAAAGCAGCTCCTGTAATGGCTATTCCCACGAGCACGAGTATTGCAACCTGAGTGGAAAATCAAGTAGCAATTGTTATGCTTATGCTACATACACATTAACTAGCTTGCAATAGGCAACAGTCCCATAATGTATCAGTTTCCAGACCACATTAACTGAAATCAATATGGAAAACATTGTTCTCTTTAAATTATCAAAAGAGTCCCTACAGTCCCATCTGTAAAGAGATGAACTATGAAAGCAAGATTGAGAGAAATAGAGTTTTGTAGTTTTCTGCAGAAGCAGGGACAATGACTTACTGGATTATACATGTCGTCACTCAGCCCGAGATTAACAAGAATCATGTTCACCATCATCGAGAATTGATGTAGAATGAATGATCCAGCCCCTACCTGCAACAGTAATTTTCAAAGTAAGTACTTTTTATGTAACTGATTGCTCGGAAAAAATACAGAGGCGAATGCGGTAGGTAAAACATACTCACCACGGATCCATAGAATGCAAGATACATGAAATTTTTCTTCCCTGTAGGCAATAGCCTCATAACCTGCAAAGAATTTATTACAGAAACAACATCTTAGCATAACCCTTCAGCGATACAAAAAAATCAAGTAAAATTCTTTCAACAATTCATCTCATGTTCTACTCTAGAGTGGCATTTTTAAGTTTAGTATCATGATCCCAAAAAATCTACACTTTAGTGGAATGAGAATAATTTACCTGGAAAATGATAATCAGGACGACGAGAAAAACCCCAACAGCCATAGAACTGGTGTAGTAAAATGGAAGCCAGCTGCTGACAACTGGTGCTATCAAGATCACGACCAGTCCAGCCACAAAACAGAGAATACGCCATCGCTGAAAATCTGTAGAAAAGAAGACATAACAAAAAAGTGAAAAAGAGTAACTAAAGCCAAGATATGGAATAGGAAAAAGTCTCCAAAGACGACAGACACAGAGAGAGAAAGAGAGAGAGAGAGAGAGAGAGAGAGAGAGAGAGAGAGAGAACAAGGAGCAAACCTTCTGCAACAGAGATGGTAACTGAACCAGACGATTCACCACTGAACTTCACATCAATGTATTGCTTATCATATGGGGACATGACAGTGCTCCAGAGCCCCCTCTGTAGATTTTTCCAATCAGCTTTCTCACACTGGCACATTCCAAGTGAAGCATTCCTGAAAAAACCATAGTAGAATGGTGAAACAAGGCTCTTTCAAAACTGACTTCTTATTAACGTGTGAAAACTAGAAAACATGGATATAAAAGCTCCTGCACTTACCGGTGAACACAAACCTGAATTTTGCTGTGTAGCCTCTCTGGGACAGTTACCAATGGAGCTAGTTTTACCCTATAAGAGTGGGCATATTTTGCTAGTTTGGTTCTCGAATAGCCAGAAACGTGAATACGCTCACACGAAGTAAGGCTGACATTCAGAGATGGATGGTCAGGACCAACACCTGAAATTTAAAATCCATATGTCAATACAAAAATAAACACATCCTATACAAAGGAATATCAAAGCATGAAAGCAACTATGCAGGGGAAAAACATAAATGTTCAAGCTTTCTGTCAAGTGCCAACTATAAGAACATGTATACACCCTGATAACATTTTGTCATCAATAGAAGCATGAAAACGTGAAAAGAAAAGAAAAACATACACATGTATAGATTTTAAATTTCTACATCATACAAAACATGAGTATTAGCGGATTCAATCTACAAGAAGTTACATTCTTCAAATTGCTTTTTGGTTTACAATTTTAAACTTGTTGATTCAATATAAGGATCACAGAGCTTGCATCTAAAAATGTAAAAAAAAAAAAACAACTTCAAAAGTAAACAAAACCCAATTCCCAAAAAATCACCCAGGGAACTTCAAGCCCTAGGTTCAATGATGGTTTTCTAACTTAATTGTTCTCACTACAATACACAATTAGCAAATAAAATTCATTACTAATTAATACCACGAAATGGATTCTTCCGCTAAACCTAAGCAACGGATCAAAATTAAAACTTTCTATTCAAGTAAAGAGCAACACACGATTTAAGCAGAGAAGGAGATCGCAACACACCTTTCAGCTCCGCCGCGTGCGATGCGACCAAGGAAGACAAGAGAAAGAAGACAACAAGAGGAAGTAAAAAAGAGAATCGACGAGAAAGACGAAAAGAAAATGTAGAAGAAGAAGAAGAAGCCATTATTGCCGCTTTCCTCTCGCCGTCCCTTGGTCTCTCTGTATATTCCCCACCGCCGCGAATGGGAAGACGCAACTTCGAGAAGCGCGCAATAATATTTAAGCTTTAGCAAAAATTGCGTTTTGGGCGCGTAGCGTTGTATCAAAGTAAAATTAATTGCGTTGGGTGCGCGTTGCGTTGCATCAACGTACGATAAAAGAGTTGGTTTAGATATTGGAGGCCCGGTTTAGTTAAATTAGTTGCGAATGTTGGTTCAAAATTAGAACCGTAACCGAATCAATAGAAAAGCCCAACATGGCTTGGTTTAGTAAAATGAAGTAGCCCAAGTTACACAAACCGATTTACCCCTGAATCGATTCTTTGGTAACAGTAGAGGAGAAGAGAAAGAGCTTTAACAACGACGGAGAATTTGGAACCCAGTTGCACGCAATCGAGAATAATCTACATCTTTGAGAAGCGAATCCACTGAATTGAAAGAGTTTTGGAGAATCCTATGAGCCGGTTCTCTCTAATTCGTCAGCTCAAGGTCCGTCTCTTCTCTTCAATTTCTTCGCATTTTACGATTCTTCTTACATCTTTCGTGTTTGTCAAAGTTTTAAACCGAAATAATCAGAAACCGGAATCGAAGCTCGGTTCCGGTACGGTATTTATTTTCAAAACGAAAAACCGAACGGAAATGTCTTCTTATCCGAACCATATTGAATAACCGAAACCCTTTGGCTTATTTATTCGTTTGCGTTGAAATAACGCCCGCGTTAAAAGAACGCTTCTTGGTTCTTGCTTCCATTCGTGTCGAGTGATTTAACTATTTAAACCTTAATTTTCGATTTGATTTGAGTTTTATCTTATTCCTGCGACTTCGATTATCCTTTTTCGCATTCACTTGCCAGACAAATTGATTGGTAAAATCGCTCTTTTGTTCTTTTTCTTTTCGAATCTTCTCTTTTCTCTTTAATCCCGAAGTTCAGGAATTTTATCCTTGTTTCTGTGAGACGATCAGCGTAGTGTTTACAGTTATTGTCAAATTTGTAGTTTTTTGGGTTTCTCTGTTTTGTTTGTAGATTGTATTATTTACTGAGTTTTTTGTTTTTTTTCTTTTTAAATGTAGCCGAAACATGTCCCTTGAGTTTTGTCCGGAGAGACCTTTGTTTGGCGGCGCAATTTCCAGCGCCTTCCCTCAAAGATTCCAGGTCTGTGATCCTTTCTTTTTTCTCTTCTTCTTTTTCTTTTAGCTGCTAATTCGTTGTTCGAATCAATGACGGTTACATGATTATTCAGGATGCGAGTAATATCCGACAAGTTCCAGATCATCAGGTTAGATTCTTCTCTATCAAGAATTTTGCATAATTGTTAGAAAGATCATATAGAAGAATCTCTAATACACTTGTTATTTTATTGTTTTAAATTATTTGGTTTGGCAGGAATTGTTTGTGGATCCTTCAAGGGATGAGAGTTTGATATTTGAGCTCTTAGATTTCAAGACTGAGGTTGGTGACAATGGCAGTGCTTCTTGGTTCCTCGAAGATCTTGCTCGTGAGCAAGATGCCGAAGGTTTCAAGGTAACCACTTGACCTCTCCCTGTTTAATGTTTTGAAAACTCATCAAGTTGCAATGTGTGTTATTGAGGCTAGACCGGATCCTATATTGTCAAGATTCAAGATTCTAAGATCAAGCCTTAAATTATAACTAGTTTAGAAAGTTTATTATGAAACAGGTCGAACTAGGACTAGTACTCGTGCAGTGTTTGTTTTTTTTTTCACCAAGATTGATTGATATCCTTGAGGATTGTTGTATGTGCATGCCCTGGAAACTATTTTTATGATCCAAGACAATGTAGTAATGGTGTCATGTAATTTCAGTTAATTGAGCAATCAGAGGTCGTTGAGGCGCCTGGACTGTCTTTTAGAAACATCCCTGCCGTTGTGACAACTGCTGTTGGAGAGATGGTAATTTCATTTACTCGATGCTGGCCTTTTTGTTTGCTCGTATGTTACCTTCTCTTATTTGTTTAATAACGATGATTACAGGCTATATCCAAAGGAAGACAGGGAAGAGAAGCACAAAACCTAGTGAGGGTAATTTCATTTTTCCCTTGTTCTGTACTTTTTTCCATAATCTGGTTCTCTTTTTTTCAACTGGTCTATATATAATGATGTTTTCCTCTGCAGGTTTATGTGGCAAATCTTCGTCTTAAGGGAGTTGAAACTGATGCGTTAGTGACTGCATATGAACCTATTCTCATTAAGTAAGTCCCAGAAACGTTGATACAGAAGTTGAAAATCCAAAGCTTTGTTGTTGTTCTTGTTGTTGTTTGATATTGTCTATGGTCTCATGTGTTTGCTTTTTCTTGCAGCCCTCTGAGCGAAAGTGCGAATGCTGTAGGAGCCGGTTTAGCTGTGCCAGCTTCACAATCTGGAATAATGCCAATGTGTGATGTCATTAAACAGTCACTCTCTACCTTCAAAGTCAATGACTGGAGTCTTTTCGGCTCCTCCTCAGCTTGAGTGTATGCTTCATCATCCAAAAACGAAACGATGAAAATCTGCCAATTGATGTTGTTATGTCGGTTTCGTTTTTTTAATTTTGAAGTTCATTTATGTTGGTTAAGGTAGCTTCTCAAGTGGTCGAGTCTTTGAGGCCTAAGTTTAGAGTTCTTCTGTTTAAGCATTGTTATTCTTCTTTAGCTTTTGATTAAATAAAACGAGTTTATATGAGGCTTATAAGAAATGGCCTCGATTGTTTTTCTCAAGTGGTTTGCTTTGAGAGCTTCTATGTCTTTTCTCTCTATCCCTGTTTCTTCACATTATGTTGAACTCTTAAGAAAAACAAAAGGCAAATAATTGAGAAGAAACTCGAGAAGAAAAAGTAGGATTTGTCTTGGAATCCAAGAATTCATGTTAAAAGAGTTTTGGTAACACTGTTTTTTTTTTTAATTTGCTTTTAACTTTTAATTTTTTTTCTTCTTGTTGAATATGGGTTTCCCATATCTGCATAAACTAGTGGCAAACAAAATGTAACTTTCGTAGTACCTTTGTGTTATATTTGCATCAAAAATACCAAACCAAGCTGTTAATTTACGTAATTACGCCATCGGATTATAACAATAAATAATAATAGGGACGAAATTCTCTTCTAAATTTTCTATCAATTGAAAAAAATAAAGAATTGATTTATTCGATCAAAAATATATTCAATCAAAGAAAAAAAAAACTACAGCAATAATTTGTCTTGTGATAATACTTCTATCAGTTATATATACTATATCATTGAAAATAACTATAATTCAGTTGATTGTTTTTCATGGGTTGATCATTCTTTCTTATTTCTAGATGGTAGGAGCGCAAAACCATTTATAATTTATTAGGCTTGACAATTAGGAAATAGTTAGGTTTTGATCGAAGAATCTTGTAGTAAGCTTCCCATCAATGCCTCATAGCCTCATAGGTTACTATTAAAAAGCTTTTGTTATTGTTTCAATTCTCTATTCTAATAAATTTCTAATCAAGTGACATCTTGTCGGAAAATTGGGGTCGACCCAATGAAGCAAGAGGTAGATCACTAGGCTCTAGTCTAGTCTATATGGAAGTAAGAGCAAAAATTATACTAAGGTTATGCAATAATTAATTACATCACATCACGTGTGGATTTTCTTAAACTATTTTGGGGTTGAAATGTAGTCTTATCTTTACTGGCCAAGACAAGTAACAACGAATCAAAATACAAAACCTTAAACATGCAAAAGCTGAACTTGGGCAAACAAACCACCTAATGATTGGTTTTTAAATAAAATAAAATTTAAGCAGAATTATAATGACAGCATTTTCTTTATAAAAAAAAAAACGCTGGCCTAGGCCCATGCACGTCTCTAACGCGATCCAAAAGTGAACATGTAGAAATGATCAGTGCGTTAGAGAACCATTATCTATTGTTTTGAATTTTTGATGATTGATGATGATGTATTGGGTTCCTCCTTCCTTTTTAGTTCAAATTAAGCGCTTACACAATTTTTTTTTGTTTACTGTTTACCAAGTAATTAACATACACTTGACTCGTGGTTTAACTTGGACGGTTCGACCTTATTACAAAAAGTAGCACACGAGTCAAGTCCTCTTTCATTCGAAAAGTCCACTGAATTACACTGTTTAATTTTCTTTATTTCCTTTCATGATATACTTTTTATTATATAAAAACTGTTACATATATATCATCTTTTTTTTGGGATAAAAATGGTACATTATCTTTATTGACACGCAATATTCTACAGAACTTGTCCGATTGACTTTTCTTCCTTTATTTTAAGAGAATGGAGATGCGAGGATGACGTCAGCCCTAGTATAAATCGGGAAACGAGAATACGGACGTCGGAGAGTGACGTGGCATTGTCAGCCTAGCGCACGCACCAACTCCGCCATGGACCTCTTTTCCAGTTTCCACTAAACTTGTCTCACGTACATTTCAGATTTTCGATATATTTTTTGATATACGTACAAAAAGCTTCTACCGTATTTAATTATTTGCAATTAATTTCAATTTTACACAGCTTTTAAAGTTGTAACTGTATAGTTTACATTATGTGTTTTTATGGACATTACACGTCGAGAAGAAGGAAAAAAAGGGTCGTTTTGTGAATGTTTGCCGACACGGATGTTGATAGGCTTCTGGGTGGTGTGTGTGACCACCAGTTTAATTTGTAAAACTAGATTTATAAGATTATCATAAAGGGCAATTTTCTAAATAAGTATAGATTATGATACGCTTCAGGTCAATGAGAGATGGAGCAAGAAAATGACTGAAAGAAACTTGAGGCTTCCTCAAAATCACTTCATGGCATTTCTCGTAATTCTCTACTTGTTTTCGAGGGGTATTGAAGAAATAGAAAACTACACACATTTTTTTTGTGTTAGCATTTTACTTTAATAATTGAAAAACAAATGAAGAAAATGTACCATTGGGACCTTGGCAGCTCTTGTCCCCTTTAAGTGTGAGGTATATTTATTTATTTTCATCCAACCGAGTAAAATGGTAATTCCCACAAGAAGAAAACTTAGACAACCTTAAATATTGATAGAATTTATTTTCTTACCTAAATTGTATAGTCCTCTTTTAGATTTTTTTTTATATAATTCACCTCAGTTTAATGTTCTTTCATTTAGAATAAAGCTATATAAGATATTATGTTTCGTGTTTTAATATTATATTAGCCATGCAATAGTTTATGTAAAGTCCATTGGAATGAATAAAATTAAACTAGAACTTTTACAACAAAAAATAAATATTAGCCAATAGCATAGCCAAACTAACGTCAAGAGGTCGAGCTTGGGTCGTTTTGGAATAAAGATTTGTAAGAGATTTCTAATTATCAGTGGAAAAGGATATTTTAGGTCTATTTCACCCAAAAAAGAGAGGATATTATAGGTCCCAGAGAAGTAAGATACACATTTAGAAACATGATAGTGTGAAAGGTTCTTATAATAAACCAAACTAGATTGCAGAGTTTTAGAAAATAACTTTTGATTTAGTTTAAATAATTTGTAAGGGAAAAGGCAGATAGAGCGAGTTATTGCTTCTTGTGTGAGATATTAATTTGACAGTAGAGCGAGTTGTTGTCTTTCTTTTTTAGTTGGATGTCATTCCTCTTCTAGCATCTACATGTTAGTGCTCGCCTTTTTTCTGACTGTAATTTCCATTATGTAACATTGTATCTAGTTATATTAATTAAATTTCAACAATCAATCGTATAAACATGTACAATCAGAATAGAGATCATGCAAGTAAGTTTCTACAAGTCTTTAATACCATAGAGTGATAGAGACACTATTTGTAATATTTTATACGTACGTATATGCCCACTTAACGAAACATTAAGTAATCATAATGAGTATACTTCTCGGAATCTCATAGATGTTTTATATGCTAGCTAAGAATAATTCATTAAACTCTATTTACAGGCGCCATATACCACTAATCGGCTCTATTTATAGAATCAGTATATAGATATACAAAATCGACCTTAATAATGACCAACATTCCAGTCAAATTAACTTTTTTACTCGAATAAAATAATTTTAACAAAAGAGAGTCAAAAGAAAAAAACTAAAAAGTGAAGGAAACATAGAAGAGAAGGTGAGACATCGGTATCAGATGAGGTACAAGCAAGGGAAACTTAAATAATCACTCTCTTGTCTTGTTTTTGGAACTTTTTACATGTACGTATGCATGCTGTTTGCAATAACGTACACGCACATGTGCTTGTATAAAGTTACACATTTAGAATGATATACGTATATGTATCATGAGTGCATATATATATACACATCTTTTTAAACTTGTTAATTTGATGGTATAGGTTAATCCACCGAGAAGATCATATAAAAAAAAAGTTAAAGTAAGTTTAGCAGAATATATGTAAAGGTAATGATGTTTAACTAAAATCGAAATAGTAAATTAGTTAGTTCCGATCGAAGTGAAATTAATACATAGTAAAGTAGATAGACAGTTGTAGAAGAAAACAAAATGAGTAGAGACAGAGATACGAAGAGAGGGTATATATGTAGAGGTGGAGACATGAATAATGTACAAATATAGATATTAGATAGATAGGGTCCAAAACACAAACAATGAATGATGAATGCTAGGGTTCCGGTTGCAACGTGATTATGTCGCTAGCCGTAGTGACAGTTCATGAGAGGACAACTTTTATGTTGTTTCTTCCTCTTTCTTTTCTCTCTCTCTCTTTCCCACAATTATTTATACCACCATATGTTCATTACATCAACCTCATTACACACAAAACCAGAACTGATGATGACGTACTTGGCGACTATATCAAATTATTTGTATGACAAATGGTCCAAATTTGGTTTTAAGCAAGGGAGTGACCACAAAACGGGTATTAAAAGATTGTAATTATTTGAACAGATAGAACATCTTTATACTATATTGGACAAAAAAAATTTGGACACCGACATTTTTTTTTAATGGGATGATTTAAAAATTACTTAATGACCTAATTTTCTACGAAAATATAACATAAAACACAACCTCTAGTGAAAAATGGCAAAATTATTACCAAAACAAAATGCCACTTTATTCGAATTGGAACAGTCTCTATCTCTTTAGTGAATCATTTGCCGAAGTTATCAGAAGTTACATGAATCTATCTTTTATATCGAACTCGTCAGTCATTGCTTTAACCCAAAAAAACTAGTCAAACACTAGCGAGTAGTGATCCTTGCAAACAAAGCTCATATGATATGTCTATACCATTATTACCGTATATATATTGAAGAATACGTAAGAGGCACAAATGGTGACAAAGCATGGTATCATTTGACTGTTTCCTTCCTCAAATTTCACTTTAAGACATAATTACACCATATTCACCTTCATCTAATGATTAATACACCGTAAATTTTATCCATGCTTTATAGATTTTGCATCCTTATCCACCATAGCATCCCCAATTTTGTTCATTCTAAGAGAACATATCACCTAAATTTTTTTGTTTAGCAATGATGCATTGAGTTTTGAAACTCCAAAGAACTAACCCTCAACTGACGGCACAGTGAAAAGCGCAGTGGTATAACTGATATTGAATCTTTAGATGCCAATGCAACTCAATTATACAGTGGGATTACAAGATTAAGAATTAAGGTAAAGCGGTAGAAAATGTGTTTCTTTTGATTTTGGATCACCAAATGCATATAAATAAACCAAGTAAAAAAGTAAACATGCAAAAGAAGAAGTTAAAGTAACACAATATGACAAAAGAGCAACGAAGCACTAATCAAGATTCACTAAACGAATAAAAATATGAAATGGGTCATACGGACTAATCATATGATTTGAGGTTTAGATAACATGAAGAACCATCCTTAACATATGTAACTAATACGAAACTTATGTTGTTTTGAAACACTGATTAAGCTTGCTAATCACCTAAAATTACTTAGCTTCTTTTTGCAATTTGGATGCTGAAAAAACATTAGCTACAAGTCTATTAGATAAAAGAAGATAGAAAGAGACTCCTACATTGCATCAGGTGGTTATGATCCAC